TGTGTCACAACATCCCAGTATAAATGAAGCATTGTGGTTCTGCAGAGATGCCCATAAAATCATATTCTTCAGATGTAAAGGATCATGTTTGTTTGGTACAGACCCTAACAAAAAAATCATAATTTCTATATATATATATATATATATATTTTTTTTTTTTTTTCTTTAGGTGAAAATGAAATGTGACTCAGATCGCAAATGCAATATCTGTCAAAATCATCACAATATGATTCCATGTGCACATCATTTAGCCCAATTCCTAATTGTAACTTAGATGAAGATGTGACCATCTTTTAGGACAAATTTATACAAAATACAGGTAATTCCAAAGCGTTCCCATACTTTTACTTGCACTGTATGTTACAAACCTCAAAGCTTTGATATGATATCCACCAAGGCAAAGGGGTAACAAAATTCAAATTGCCTCAGCTGGCAGTTTNTACAAGATGTAATGCGGTTGCTGTGGCAGCTGGGACCTTGTTTAATGTGTGACTTGTTTGCTAGATCTTGTGATAATTTATTGACAATAATCCTCTGTGATACTATTGGAAGGCCAGTTAAAAAGGCTGAGGGTGACTGGAATGATTCTTTAGAATAAAAATGTGCGTTTTATATTCACTGAAAAAAGACATACACATACAGTGATGAGAAAAAAAAATTGGAAATACCTGATTTTCTGCATTAACTGGCCATAAAATATGATCTGACTTTAAGTCATTAGTATAAACTAACACAATGTGCTTAAGCTTATATCACACAAACAATTATAATCTTTCATGTTTAAAGGAAAATGTGTCACAACATCCCAGTATAAATGAAGCATTGTGGTTCTGCAGAGATGCCCATAAAATCATATTCTTCAGATGTAAAGGATCATGTTTGTTTGGTACAGACCCTAGCAAAAAAATCATAATTTCTATATATATATATATATATATATTTTTTTTTTTTTTTTTTTTTGGGGNTTCTATATATATATATATATATATATTTTTTTTTTTTTTTCTTTAGGGGAAAATGAAATGTGACTCAGATCGCAAATGCAATATCTGTCAAAATCATCACAATATGATTCCATGTGCACATCATTTAGCCCAATTCCTAATTGTAACTTAGATGAAGATGTGACCATCTTTTAGGACAAATTTATACAAAATACAGGTAATTCCAAAGCGTTCCCATACTTTTACTTGCACTGTATGTTACAAACCTCAAAGCTTTGATATGATATCCACCAAGGCAAAGGGGTAACAAAATTCAAATTGCCTCAGCTGGCAGTTTAAAAAAAAAAAAAAAAAGAAAAAAAAGAAAGAAAAAAAAAGAAAGACACCAAACAAACCTCCTTGGTGATGTTGCCATGGAGAAGAGCTTCAATATGTAACCGTGACAATAGCTGAGGTATGAAGGCCTTGAGGCGTGGGAGAGTTACATCTGGAATACAGATCACAGACAACAGCCATCAATCAAAGAGCAATTTCCCAAGACTGAATCAGTAAAAACCACAGAATAAGTGCTGTGTGCAGCAGTTTCACTGTCCTGCACTCCCGTCACAGACAAGACAAAAGGTGGTCACATGTTAGATTATCATGCAAACCTGGTCAATCACGCACTTCAACATTCAGTTACACGTGCACAAAAATCAAGTGTGTCTCAGTGTGGGCTGGCCAATCTGAATTCAAGCAACGTCTGACCCAGATTCAAGGATGAGCTACAACAGGGATGCACACCCAGACACACACAATTTATATAAATGATTGTTTGTCCACAGCAACACACACACACACACACACACACACACACACACACAGAAACAAGAGACTGAAAAATGTCTCATAGACCCCAGACAGGGGAAGAGGAGAGGGTAAGGACACTGATAAGGGAACAAGCTGTGGTAATTGGAGGCCCTAGTGACTGGGCTACAGGCCTTGACCCTGCAGGTTAATTGAGTCTCATGTGAATCCAAGGATAGTTTGTGTAAGCTCTGTGGTAAAAATATAACAATCTGCCCTTCAGGTTCCAGACGGGCACTGCAGAGAGGAAAGACTGCAGCTAGGGAGGCATCTGCTGGAGAACAGCCTCAGCATTCAAATGAGGATTTAAGGAGGACGACAGAAGAGAAGACAGGAGCTTAGATGAGAGGAGGGAAAGAGCGGCCCAACTTTAAGCCAAACACCTTAAACTTTATCCCGGGATTCAAAGCCTATTCCTTACTACCTTTAAACCAAACTAATAAACTCATTCTGCTAACTAGCCATGTATGCCAAGCTTCGTCTGTTCACTTCCAGCCTGAAGAAAGGATTGACTATGCATTTATTCTGCATTTCAGTGAACTCACTTTGGCCAAAAGCAGAAAAAGGGCTAATAAGCACAAGGGCTGGGACTTTGAGACAGAAGTAAAGAGAGAAAGAAGAGATTAAGAGCGGTGTCTCACCATCCAGGGCCTCTCTGAGCTCATCTTTGGTCCAAGCAACCTCAGTCATTAGTAGACGGAGGTAGTACATGGCGTGCTGGTGAGGCTGCTCAGCTCTGAAGTTATTCAAAGACCTCATGTACTGCAGGGAGGGAGAGGAGGAAAAGTCAGTTCAACATTAGCACTTCATGAACCGAAACATTAAGTCAAAACTATTGTAGAGAGTCAAAACTATTACAGTGAAGCAATAACTACTGTTGCTACTTTACTGTTCATGTGTTGTAAGGAAAAGTAAAGATTTTGAACTGTGTTAAAGTTAATGAATTGAAAGTCACATTTACAATCCATCATGACTCATCATAACCTTGTATTGATGGTGGAACTGCAGTCGGGGCTTACCGCTTCCTTGATAATGTCGAAGCGCTTTTCATCTATCTCAAAGGTGGCCATTTTTTCAATGATCTTCTTCAGCAGGATGTGCTGTTTGTCACTGTAACCTTTAACAGACAGCTGCAGCAGACGGTGATAGAGGACAGGTGGTGCATTATCAACAAACAGAAAGATAAACTGAATCATCAGACAGATTATACTGTGGTTTTGATTATTGATTTGAAAGTTTAGACTTACTTATTAATAATAATAATGTGTGGCTAAGTACTGTAATTGCTGGCTGACCAAATGCTTGTCAAGAAAATCCCATCACTCTCCATCTTATGATGAGTCATCACCGCTACAGTACATATAACAAAATATGTAATGGCAGGTCTATACTAGCCTAAAATGTCCCAGTAAATTTAGACCAAAAATGTGGAGGAATATAAATAATAAAAGATTCCTATCAATCACTAGTGCTGTCAGTGTATGCTCATGCTCCAATTCAATAGTGTGTACATATCATAAATATCCTTTATGTTTGTCTTTTTATTTTAGATTATATTATTTGTTTGTTCATAAACATGACTATAAAAAAAAACTGATCAACTATATTAGGAAGCATTACTTCCTCATCTCTGGCAGTTCAAACCTATTTAACTACATCTTTCAGGAAGACAGAACAGACCTTAGTGGTTGATGATGAGTTTTCTCATTCAAATGTGTTTTTTAAAAATGGAAAAGAAAAGTTATTTAAAGCCTCCACTTTGCAATGTCATCCGCACCTTATGGTCCTTCATGATTCAGCAAAACCTGCAGCTACATGGCTGTGCTCTCAGACTCATCTCATTCCTTGCCTCTCCCTGTCGCTAAGTCCCTGTGGTGACACCTGTTAAAAGTAATCTCTCCTAACATCATTAACCTTGACAAAAGGCCAGCCAGCCACACCAGTACTGCTGACTCAAATCAATTACACACGGCTACCATCGCACAGTCACACAGACAGTGTGTAGAATAGCAGTTTATAAGGACACGCCACAAACCATGACTTTACTGGTGAGAGGCAGCTAATGAATGCAGGTTACTGGGTCATATGACAAAAGGTGCAGTGTGTTAGTGCGGAAGTTAGAAAGCTTGAAGGAACAGAACAAAAAACCACCACCGCAAATCTTTTTCAGTCATGGGTAGGTTGTTACTTTGCTATGCAGCATTAAATCCCTGACACACAAACAGCTGAACAAACTGCTGTATTCATGAATTGGGGGAAACAAAGAGATGCCTGATTGAGCAAGTCGCTCCTCACTATGTGCATCAAACCTCCTGGATACAGATTTACTTCCATCGTTCTTTCTGCACTTGCATCAGCAGAAATGTGACTATAAATGTGTCAGAGAATCTGCATCGTTTGGCTTTATTCCTTGTGTCTTGCAACAGAGATGATTATTCATACGCTACCTGTATGACACTAACACAATAGAAGTGAGAGAATGGCAGCCAAAGGACCAAAAAATAATTATACAGAGTAGGTAAAATTGTGCCATCTAGTATTTCTCCGTCTCTTTTCTGCTGCATTTTCACTGGCTGAATATAGCACCCAGAATGAATGTTGGAAGTGAATCTGTAATATCAGTCACTTGTACGTCCTTGACTGAACCGGACAAGGTTCAGTGTACACTGCAAGTCTGCACAAAGTTTAAAATGCCATGGGGGCTAAAATGAAACATATATCATATTAATGATTATTATGATATTAATGATTCTCAAAATTAATTCAAATTAATTAAACAAATTGGTTTCAAAAACACTAATCTTGGAAATGGAAAAGTCTTGTGACAACTCTTAATTTAAGTTGTCAAGGCAATTAAAAAAAAAAAGAAAAAAACAAAAAAGGTATAATTCCTTTAGGTAAATGCCAATATAGTAGCCGATGACATTTCCAGAGCTGTATTAAGCCATCCTACAGTTAAGTAACATATTAAGTTGCTGGGGAACATGGTAGCAAGCACAGATTCTAGTAAATCCCTCAGGTTAGACAAACAACACACAGCACTTCACATAATCAGTGTAGAAGCCAAGCCACTTCCACTCTGTCAAAGCCTCAGAGTGGACCCTTCACTGGCACCCCCACTTCCCTCCAGAATTCAAACGGCTTACTTACGAGGATGGCATTCATCCCTGAGGCTACGCCATACACCAGCCCGGCCAGGCGGGCTGCATATGTATACTCTTTTAAATCATCCTTCAGTAACCTGAGTAACAAGTAGGTCATGTTGCAGTGCAGGGGATCTGCATATAGGTAGCGACTAATGGGGAAAGGGAAAAAAAAAGAACAAACAAAAACAAAAACAAATGACGTTTGTTGGGAATGAGGAGTTGTCAAAAACAAAACCAAAAAAAAAAAAAAAAAACCCAAAAACAAGACAATGCAAGTACGAGAAGAATGATAATAAGAGTATGTATATGCAGCCTTGTGACCAACTTTCTGTCCAGCAAGACTGGCAAAAACTATTCTACGGAAGACTCATGCTACCACTATTTTCACATCAACCTGTAAATTACAAATTCAATGTCGCTGCGACCACCGCTTCACCTTATGTTGAACTACAGGTGTGCCGTTAAACCTATTACATCTAAAAGAGACATGACAACGATCCGTTAGCCTGAGAACTTGAGGAAATAAACAATTCCTCTGTAGTTATAAGGGTTTGGTGGAAAATGGGTGAACAAAGAGGGAATCAGGATCAATGAAGAATGAAGAGCAAGATGCAGACAGAACAGAGGCTGGACTGGGACCAGCCAGGTCTAGGTCAGAAGGTTTTAGGAAGTAGTTTGCACTTTTTTTTTTTTTTTTTTTTTTTTTTTTTTAAAAGATGCACAGGTGGGATTAACAGCATGAGATAAGTCTCAAATTGTCAATTACATTGGTAATACAGAAAATGATAGTAGTTTGCTAAAAATATATAAATGTTTTTTTTCATTAATTGTATCATCATGTGTGGTAACACCCTCCAATCTGACCAAAGAGACGGCTAAAAACCTGTCAACCCAGGCCTGACTGAGCCACAGTGGCCCAGTCTGAGGATGATAAAGGGTGCGGGGACGTAAGGTCTGGGATGTGGCGTGTGGGCGATGGGGAGGCTTTTTGAATACTTACATACATCCCATAGACGGTATTTTGGAGGTCATAGTTCAAGCCAGCTAGCTCGGCTGCATATGCATACTCGTTGAGGGAGTCCTTGAGGAGCTCCAGATATAAATATGCCATGTTACAATGCAATGGGTCCACATACGCAAACGGGCTGTAGAGGAAATGGCAGTGGTCAAACAAAGCACATAAATGAAGTGTAGTGATATTGTTCTCTACACTTTCTCACAGTATGAGCTGAAGATACTACGAGTACAGTACATGACTCTACAAATTGACAAATTGGATTAATTACAGATATTACAGTTATTCAATACGCACAGAATGTTCGGTTCGGTATCCAGTTTGTTACATGATGTCGCAAACCCAATAATTACAGTCTAATAGACTAATACTGTCTAATTATAGTCACACCCAGAAGGGTTTATTGTTTCAGTCGCTGAATATTGGCTAAACCAAGATAATACAGACTATTGCATATTGTGCGTTTGGAGGCATTATGGCCTCCTAGTGAATTATAGCAAAACTGGACAAGGAAGCCGGTGCAAGTTTTCCTTTTGAATTATTTTGAAAATGGAAATATTCCTCTTCTAGAGTTGAGAATTTCCCAAAGTCCTGCAATTAGTCTTAGCCTGCCTTAATTAAGCATAACCGAGTGGTCGCAGTTTGGAGATTTGCTTTACTCCTACTTTGGTGTCTTAATCTAAGAGATGAGAGCCACAATCTTATCTGATCTGGTCTCATTTGATATGCGAGTGGAGTTGTAAAGTGAAAGGGATAGTTCAAGTTATTTGATGTGGGGTTGTTGAGGTACTTATACATAGTGTATTACCTGCAGTAGATTCAGGTTAGTGAATCTACTGCACTAACCTGCAGTAGATTCAGGTTAGTGCGCTGCCAGTTTGGAGTACCAGCACAGAAGCTGAGCAGCAGAACAAACAGCAGAAAAAATGTTTTAGCCACATGAAAACGAGCACACCTAAAAAACCAATGTCAAATTAAGTGCTTGTGCCAATGGACGATGATATCGACGATCATTAGAACGATCGCCGATTGCTCATGCCTATGCCAAGACAATATTGGATTTGTTTTCCCATTAATGTAGTAACTTATTTGTAGTCTTAAATTAATATAAAATTTAATTTGACCTTCCACAGTTTCACGTATATAACCAAGCTTGCAACAGGCGCACACATACACACACTCCGATCAGTAATGAAATGCTGCTTGTTGTGTGTAGGAGCTGAGCCGTGAGTTAAGAGCGGAGATCGTCAGACAGAACACTTCATTTTGTTCGGTTTCTAAGTCAACGAGAGAGACGCATTATTTTAGGGTTATTAATTAAACATAGCGTAATGGTTTACTGCTTTATCTAGCTGTTAAACAGCCCTTTATGACTCGAACAGCTGATCTGCGGCGTAATACATTGCGCTGTGTAGGTGTGCTTATGTGTAGGAATGCAGGAGTTCAATGGTTTTCTGCTGTCTCCTTCCACAGCAGTACACTGCTCCGCTTCTGTGCTGGTGCTCCTGCCTGCTTCTCCAAACTGGCAGAGCATTAACCTTAGTCTAACTGCAGGCAACACACTGACTCATACAGCCCCTTGTATCTTGTCAGATAACCAGAACTATCACTTTAAGCTATGGTTGATGAAAAATCAACACTTCCTTCAACACCTTTAAAGCATTCAAATCTATTTTTATTGTAGAGCAGCTACCAGAGTAATTGGCCCGATTACTTATAAATGATAAAAACTCATCTGCATGTTTATATTTTTCTGGACGCTTCACTTTCACTTCACTGCCAATTACTTTCAAAATATTGTGTAAAATGGTTGGTTTTGATGCTGTATTAGTAATAGTACTTTTAGCTATTGTTTGTTATGCAGAAATAATAAGAACTAATTAGAGCTCCACAGCTAAAAGGCTGACAGATTTTTTACTTGGTACAACCTGGATGCCCAAGATTTCACATGAAGTACAGAGGTTCATAATTATTTACACACCTGAAGAACTCAAAGTTCAGGCATGCTTTGGGCAGAAAGAACTTGTCATCCTGCTTGAACCACACCTTGCTCATGGCAGTGTCCTAGAAGAAATAACCACACACACACACACACACAGTTGTCATTTTCATATTCATTAAAAGTTCATGTGCAAAGATAATTTGTTTCATGTGTCCCTGAAAATGCAAGCAAACTTCCACTACACACCACAAAGTGAAAGTGTGCATTTGCTTATTCACAAAAATTTAACAAAGGTACTTTGGTATCAACAGATTAGAACATGGTATTTTAGCAATAAAAGAAAAAAGGCACAGTGGATCTTATTCAGTGTTCCCTTCACAGGATGGAATATGAACACTGTTAGCTCAGCTTAGATCCTCTGATCTTGACACAATGCCAACAACTGTACTGCACATTTTATGTCTCAATCACAAAACAATACTTTATTACCATATGAAAGCATAACAGATTTTTAACAGCATGCAGTTGAGCAGGGACTGTGCCTTTAGGTAATGAAGAGGTACAATACTTTGATGATAGTGCAGCACAGCTAAAACACTCACCTTGATTAAAGTGGGGACTGATGGAGGGTCTTTCTCCAGAGGGTAGATCTCGAAGTTGGTGGGGATGAACTCATTTTTCATTGGTAATTTGAACTTGCCATTGAGGTCTGCATTTGCCCATTTCTGAAAGATAGGCATACAATCAGCCAGGAGTGTCTCACAGCTAAGCAGAAAAACAGTCGCCGAGTGCTGTGTCTGATTTGATTAGAGTGCTATGACTGCAGTTAATTACCTCCATGGACTCTTCAGAGATGGCTTCCTGTTTGTACTGCGTGCCATACCATTCTTCTGTCTTGTCTGTTTGCCCTTCAAATGACTTTGACACCACTGCAACTCTGGAAAAAGAAGAAAGAGAAAACCAGTTCACATTATATGGATAGAAATACCTCTGTCAGAGCTGATTAGATATTGTCCATCTGTGACCACTCAACCATATAAGATCCAAATACTTTTCTATTAGTACTCTCTTTGGATCATGTTCGAGGTAGTAGAGATCCATTGCCAGTCTTGCTGGATGGAAATATCGCAACATTTCATATTATGGAATATCTGCCCAAGCCTAGTTAGCTGTACTAGCACCAGCAGCCGTCTTACCTTGCAGGTTACCGTCCACATTCCTGTACTGAATGTGGTTAATCATCATCCCGGTTATATGCCAGTTTATTCTGCCACAGTCTACATTCAATCATATGTTCATTTTCTAGATCAAAATGACACTCGCAGTTCCTCAAATGGCCACTTGAGTCTGGCTCCAAACATGAGTCAATCCCCATACACTCCCATGTTTAAATGCCCCACTTAACAGCAGAAATAAACATGTTTACAGCCTGGTACAAAAAACGGTTTTGGTCTCTGTAGCTAATTTCTCCATTCATGATAGCACCAATTTAAATGTTATTAAGGCATAAATGACATGTTCATGTATGTTATGCATAATTGAGGGTGTGAAAGGTTTTTTATTTTTTTATTTTTTACATATATAAAATTGAAAATTCAATATTAACTTTCATAAATGATTCATTCCGACTAGGCGGGAGTTACATGGCGTTGCCATCAGGAACTGCCAAGATGGCGACAGTGGAGCAGCTCACTCTGAGCTTCAAAATCTTTCTTCATAAACCTTTGGGTGACGTCACAGACACTACATCCATCTTTATTTACAATCTATGGTTTTTCTGAGATGTCATCTGTTCCACTTTGTACCTTGCTTGTTTACAACATCCAGGCTTTAGCGCAGGGGAAAGAGAGCTGCTGTCTGCTTGGGCTGTAGCCCCAGCTAGTGGCAGGCAGCTGCATAACATTTTAGATGCCACAGTTTAACAGCATTGTACATATTAAAACAATTATTAGTTTAACCGACTAGTATTTCTGGGTCCAACTAGTGAAGGTAGCAATATTTAATTGTTTAGTCCATTCCACACATCCCTAATTTCAAGTGCATGTTTCACTGGTACCTAAAAATATTTATTCAATCAAAAATAGCAACAGTAGACCCCTAATTGTTAAACAGCAAACTACAAGGAATTAATGTGTATTATCAACAAGTGTGATTATTGTTTCTAGCACTCTAATAATACAAGCTAACTTGCTGCAGGAATGAGATTGAAACATGAGTGAAGACTTTCAAGGTAAAAAAAAAAAAAAACACCTTAAAGCACTTGGCTATCGATAAGAAAAAAAGCATGAATATGAGTGAAGACTGTTTTGAATTCTAAGTAGTGCTGGCAAAACCCCAAGGTTAAATATCCACTTCAGTAAAAGGAAGAGACTGGCATGAAAACCTGCAGGGTCAGCCAATGAGTGCATGCAATCTCCTCCCTGGTAAGCATTAAGGAAAATACTAGTCACACATCTGCACTTTGCTTGACACAACAGTGGCATCTCATAAAATGATTTAGTGTTAAAGGTACACTTGGTGAGACTTTTACACAAGACTCAAAGCTGGGCTAAAAAGGCTCGGCTACAGCCACAAAATATGCACATCCTCTTATTTTCTGACATCTTGTGACAATGGAGGTTATAAATTGAAAATGAAGTCAAAAAAGCAAAGAAATTAGTCTTTTAAAAGGGTCAGTCCCTAAAAAATGGCTCAACTATTCAGCATCTCCACAAAGGAAAAAATTAAGGTCCAAAAAGTCAATTTACAGTTGCAAATAATGATCATCTTTTATAAACAATTAATTTGCCAGTTATATATATAAAAAAAAAAAACTATCTTCAGTCTCTTATAAACCAAGTTGATATATTTAAATTGCTTGTTTTATCCGATCAGCAGGTTATAAACATAAAGAGATTCTGTTTAAAAATCACAGAAAACAAACAAACACACCTATCGTCATATCCGAGAACCTGGAACCAGAACATTTCAGGCATTTTTGCTAAAAATATCAATTATCAAAATTCTTGCTGAGATTATTATAAATATTATGAAATTGTTTGTCAATTGCTTTACTGATTGTTTCAGCTCTAGTGGTAGCAGTTTATTGGCATTATGCTGGACAACCACTTACTTTTTATGTCCAAAACAGTTACTTCTGCCAATATATCAAATTGGTCTTAAATAACATAAGACATGTATAATAAGTCAGTAAAAGATATTTCATAATAGCCAAACTGTTTATGTAACATCTTAAGTAAAAATGACAATAGCAATATTTCCAATTCATTAAAACTTGACAATGTATTCCGACGCACTCTCCAGCTCCTAATATGAAAAACTAGACCTTTTCTGAGGCTGCAGGAATAATTAAATCTAGGAAGTTGTCTCAAGGCAGAAAATTGAAAAGCTGTTTCATCTAAATACCAAAGTAGACCAACAGCACTTTGTCAGAGCTGGCAAGCAACAAAAATCATTTAGCATCTGTAAGCACAGTTACCAGTTATAAAAAGGTACAGCCGACTTCCTGAGGCACATTTTTGTGTTAGGCACAAACATTATTGCATGTAAAGGCTTGCAGTGCATCTACTGATTGATTTTACATATAGAACATTATTTACAATAATTCACACTGATCACCTCAGTTACTGTCTGAAGCCTCACTTACTGTAGTGGTGTGTTTCACAACACTTTAAGTGTTAATGTACACTAAGATTGACCATGTGTTACTCTGCAGGCGGAGTCTGCTGTGATATCAGCCCTGTACACATTTCTATACACATAATAACCCTTGTAATACTTGGGAATATGAATAAACAACATCAGCCTCAGTTTTTCTGTACATGACCAGACGCTGATGTTCTCACACTGACCTGACATGTTCTGGTCTCAGCTTATCCAGCACCATCTCGATCAGATCTGGTCTGAAGTCCTCCAAAAGGTACTCTGCTGCCAGAACCTCTTCAAGAGGGTAGTACTGAAACACAGAGCAGAAAGCTGATAGCATTGTGCTGCTAAAGGTGTAAAGATTAACAGTAAAACATTTGTGGAAAAGACTCACAAATCAATTCCTGAATTTTTTAAGGCTTCAACTGCCCCTGGAGGGAACTGACAATGAAACAGTATGATTGTTAAAGCTCTAACCTTTTTGCTGCATAGATCTCAAATTCATAATTTAACAACTGAAAAGAAGCCTTCAAACTATTAGGAGAATGAGGTTTATAAGAAATGCACACCACACTTCACTGTGTTTGTTTGTGTATGCATGTAGGGGCTTCCTGCCACTTGTTGCAGATGAGGAAGAAAAAACATAATTTGCACTGCCAAACCAGGTGAAAGAAAATTTGTGCAACAGTGACTATTAGGTACTTAAGCAATGAGCCTTGCTGCGACAATCATGGAAGAACTGTTAATAAATAAATAAAAGCCTAATTCTGACTGTGCCACAGGAACAGCAGCACCAGACAGCCCGATGACGACAGCAGGTACAGATGCAATGAGCCGCATTGCGTCTCCATGGAAACAACCTTTGCAGATGGAGAGGAAACCTACATGTAGTAAACCGGCCACTTTGGAAGTGTAGCCACGGGGTCTCTCCTTGTCCTTGAACCTGAAGGCCACTTTGTTTAAATCCTACAGGAGAGACAGAGATGGAGGCTGTAACAGGTGAAGTCTCAACACAACAACAGTGACTTATAATTGAAGTTTAGAAACAAGATTCTAGACAGGGAAACTGCACAGAAAGATATATATATATATATATATATATATTTTTTTTTTTTTACACTGTAGCATAAAAATTAATACTTCCCAGCTTCGTTTGACATGGCTTCATTTAGCAGATAAGAGGAGGAATATAGCTGACAGGTTTGAATTCTTCAGCCTCTGCTGCGCTATTAGTTTTTCCACTAAGCAAAAATAAGTGGGTCAAGATTGTCCTGCCCCTCTGTCTGAAATGCTGTCACTGAATAGACAACATTAATTACCTTGCACTCCTCAAACACCCACTCCTGCGGCCCCTCAGTTCGCAGTTTCTGGATATATTGGAACATGTGGAAAATGATGTCCTCAACGTGCACTGCATTGACACAAAAATCACGCCTCAATTAATCTGTCGTCCACACACATGCAATAACCACACTTGCAAATGATTATAACTACATGTCAAAAACATTTGAAAAAGCTGAATGAACATGTGGAGTCGGTTGTACTACTTACAGAGGCCCTCCTCAGTCAGATCCACATTGATGATAAAGAACATGAATCCTCTGGCTCCTTCTTTCTGCCCTCCAACAAGTGTGTTCACCCAGCCTAAAAACATCATTTTAGTCATGACTAGATTTTTCTTTTTCATTTTATGATGGAAAATTGGATAATCCACTTGGAAAACTGAAAATTATTCTGAATTAGAAAAGTCTCAAGTGGTGGGTAATTACTTAACGCTGGCTTGGGTGTTTTGAAATGCTCCAAACACATTTGTCATTATCTTGCAGCTCTACTTTATGTCCTACCTTTAGATTTTAGCTCAGACAACAAACTTCCAGGTCCTTCATGGCCAATCAGATGTCCCAGATAATGCCCTGGGTTAGACTTGTAGTACTTCTGTAGGTCCGGGATGGGGAAGGTCACATACAGGTTCCTGATGTCTTTGATAGGCACCACTTTGTAGAATTGCTGTGACAGAACACAAAGAACATTAAAATCCAGTTGCTTAGAAAAAGCTACCAACATGTTATTAAAAAAACAAACAAAATAACAAAACAGAATTTGGTAACTGATAATAAAGAAATTTATTGTGGCACTACAAAATGCAAACAATTTCCACAGCACTGAAAATGTTTAATTAATAATATCTGGCCTTACATTACCACTCTAAAGAATAAAAACTATAGGGAAATAGGTAAGCGGCTCACTCTGAGGTGTTCTTCCTGGAAGGGGTGCTCAGGGAATTCTGGGATAGGCACATTCTTGTTCTCCACTTCTCCAAAAAGGTTAACCACCATGGAGGTCAACTCATCCAATGATTCTGTAGGTAACAAAAGGAGAAAAAAAACATTTATTGCTCTACATTGAAGTTAATATACAATAAGTCTGTCATATCAGTGCAAAGAAGACCCAGGTAAACCATTTTGACTTTGTAACAAAAGACTGATGTTTGACTGTAGTCTTCCACTAAATCATAAGCCAAATAAACTAAAAACAAATCAACTAAACATGTTCACCATTAAAAACAAATTCCAGTATGCTCACAGCTGTTTCATGCCCATGACTTTGTTTTTTACCAATAAGGCACAAAGCTGACTAGACATTCAGCAGCTGAGTAACTCAGAACCACTTGGAGTGATTAATTATGGTACAATGCTCATATAATCACTTCTGTCTAACGGTGTCACTTACAATTCAGATAATGAGTTGTGTGGTACAAAATGTGACATTTCTTCTAGGATGACACAAGCTGGTGACATTTCATAACTCGCTCTGCATTGGAAGAATGAAAAACACTGCCCACAAGGGGGTTGATTTTATGGTATATGACCTATGAGTGGCATACTAACATCAAAGTATATAACAACCAGTCATTCTGAGATGTTGGCGTAATTAATGTGATGATCATAAACAATTGAGACCATCTTTGAGAAACACGTCAGATGTTGGATTTATTTTAGGCTTTGTAATATCAGCTTGAGCTTATTGAAAAAATTTGTTGTCATTGTACTAAAACACAAAATATGTTGCTAATGGCAAAACAGGAAGAGGGTGCTGTACTTGTGCCAAAAAGGAAGCAAAAGTTTTAAGACTTTCTCACAATGACACAGGATTACAAAAAGGTGCACCAAGACACACCAAGTCAAACTGACTTGCAGTTATTGTTCCGCTTTGTCGTCTTCAGTGCTGTTAAGGAAGAGTGAGGGTTTTGCTACATTTAAAGGTTACATTTGTGAGACATGAACTCTTACCTCTTCCTAACACACACAGTCCCATGAGGTTAGAAGAGTAATATGTAGAGTGAAATGTCAGGAGCTCTTGACGGATGTCAACTCCATCTTTGGATGGTCTGGTTTCAAGAGTCAATTTGTTACCTGTAAGAGAAATAAATCAGACCAATGGATATATCAGTGTGTGAAGATTTGTACAATTTTAATGGTCAATCTTTGCCAGTCAATTGATAAAAGATCAAATTCTTTAGGTTCATCTTTTCTAACTGCAATAATCAATAGTTTCAATAAATAAGATTCAAAAATATGAGCAGTGTGTTGACAGATCATAACAGTGCACTACGGGACTAGACAGACAATGATGAACAGGGTCAAAAAAATGAATATTTCCGTTTTTAGAACATGAAGGAATCAGCCACAGAGAAACATCAGCATGGTCTTCTTGAGAACTGCATTAACTCAGTAAAAAAAACAGGAAACACTGAGTTGTGATCAGGCTTCACGATCTCTTAAGAAAGCCTGTCAGGTACATGAACAAGCTGCACGCCTGCCAACCTTATTTCGAAAACAGCTGCAGCCAACATGCAGCATCTCTGAAGCAAATCAAGCGCCAGTGGTTGAGACTTTTTGAGACACAGAACAAAGCATCAACCTGGAGAAGACTATGTTGGTCTGCTGAGAGCACATGATTTTCAGGCCTGTCTGATCCTCTTCTATTCTTAACTGGAATTACTGTTATATAATTCAAGACTGCCATCAGGTGGTTATTCTGAGCTTGGAGCTACTCCAGGTCCATGTCACTCTAATCTGACAATTCAGTGAAACACAGAGTAAGCTCCCCTCATGCTAAGAGTTTTTCCTGCAACAGTTAAATGTCAGCTGAGTGAATCTGAATAGTTATTGTTAAGAGGCATAAAAAGCACATCAAAATTTCACAGATCAAAATATTTTTGCCCCTGCTGCTTTAGAAAATCATGTCCATCATTTCATTCAATTCATATGATGCCTTATATGTTCAACATTCATCGTAATGAGTTCATTAATAACCTGAATAACCAAAGTTAATAATAAATCTCTCTCTCCACCAAAACACCGGTCTAAAAAAAAAAAAACAAAAAAACACAACAGTGGTATCAATATGAACTCCTTATTTTCAAATATTATACAACTATAGTGTTTTATTAATGTTTAAATACTGGATGAGCAGAAAGTCACAGTGAATAACACGGTCATGTTAATGCTGGTGTAAACACTGAAGAGTTTCTACCTGTTCCAAATTTACTGAAGGGGTGGTTGGGGTTGCCAGTGGCCTTCTCCAACTGAAACAGCCTCCAGGCATCATTCATAAGGTTCTTCTCATGCTCCGAGTCCACAGCATTCACCTCGCGGTCCTTACAGCTCTCATCAAACAGTGGGCACAGAAAGAACTGGGCAAATCTACAGAGATTGCAAAATGAAAACATTAAACAGAACAGTTATGTATGTATGTAGAATCACCATTTAGATGTACAATAATAGAATTCAGAGCTTTGTAATTTTAATCACATTAAGATTTAGACTTTGAGAGACAGCCTAATGCTGTTCAAGGTTAAATTAAGGTCGTTGGTGTGTACAGTAGAATCATTTCAAGACACAAAACGACATGAAGCAGTGAGGAAAATCCATTTGCATGAGGGTCAAATATGAGCAACTGCCGTGCACATAAGGAAATGATAGCAACACACACATTTGAATGTTTTTACATTTACACCCCAGGTCAGTTTTGCTGTAGATGTGAAGATTTATGCAACAGACAGCAACAACCCACATCTAAAATCCTTGTTGCATCTCACTAAAAATCTACTTCTGTAACAGCTGGTTGTTCAAAACAATAAACAGCTCTTGCAAAACAATCACACCATGACCTTTGTTTTGAAATGTGATCATATTATGGAGGCATTTGCTCTTGTCATTCTTAGTACAATACACCCTCAAAAACTCAGTCTCTAAGCCTACAATAAAATGGTGGGTCTAGAAAAAAATGTTGCTCTTTGATTACAAATATGCAAATATGTTAATTGTCTTATTGGTGTGAAATAAACACGTATAGTATAGTAGGGATATGGTTAAAATAATGGGGCCAGCTAATGACACATATGATCCTTTCGGACACGAAGGTCTTCTATTTTCTAAGAGGCAACATCATCAATATTTCAGCGTACTGTGTGCTGTCCTTTCCCACCACTAAAGTCCAGATGGCCTTCACAATTCACTGGCACTGGGGAACAATTAGCCCTTGCCACAGAAACAGGTGCTTGCTAGACTATCATTCATTTATAAGTAGGTAAGCTTATCCCTATAGGTTAAATTCTGACACGGCCCGACTGTCCTCTCCAAACCACCACAGTTGACACGTGAGCAGAGCCCCCTGCTGTGGACATCAGTCTCACCCTGTGCTGGGGTTTCTGGTTTAAAGGGGGGTAGGAACTGTGCTGATGGTTACAAAATAGAGCATAATGAAACTGGGTCTTGTAACCAAAGACGAACAAACAATGACCTTGGCAGTATACTGATAACTAAACAACCACTTAGGTAAACAGATGCCATACAGGGGTGCCAAACACAAGTGACTATGGCTGAATTAAGTACAAAAATTAATTAATAAACACACAATAACACAGGACACACCTAAGATATACTGTACATGTGATGTACCTATGAGGCCAGATTACTTTAAGTACAGGTCAAAATCCCATTAAAAGAACAGGAAATTACCTATCTAGCGCTCCTTGCAAGTGCTCATGGGATACATCAAAGTAGTAGTTGGTATGCTCTCCACTGGTAAAGGCATTGGAGCTGCCGGCATGCTCGCTGAGGAACTGGCTGTACTCATTCTCCTTTGGATACTTCTTTGTTCCCAGGAACAGCATGTGCTCACAAAAGTGCGCCAGGCCCGAGATATTCCCTGGGTCCGATAATGAACCTGTGAATTTAAGAAAACATGGCCACAGAAAATAGATCGATCAAGCTACAACTCTTTCCTCGTTACAGTTCTCAGACACAATATTTTCCAAGTTGGTTGGCCAGAAATCACAGATGTGTAATGGCACAACAGTGGCTTCATTCATATGCACAGAGAATTACACTGTTAGTTGTTATTTAAGCAATCGTTTTATTCATCACAGTGAAACTGTACCTTAATCATATCATATTAAATAATTAAAAGTATGCAATGTAAGTTTCTACTATGTAAGGCATGGTCAGAATACTCAAATGCTAAACAACTCACCTGAGTCAGAGTTCAAGGGTCTAAAAAACTTGGTAGTGTTATTTAGTATTTGTTTAATCATCATTTACTGCTCCTACAGTAAAGCAACAATAGTCTGAGAGGAGTTACAACATTTTCATAGTGGGGCAACTGTTTATGAGTAAATGAGAGACCAGGTAGGTAGACAGCAATACTATATTACAGGTTTATTCATGGCAACAGGAATAGTAGATATCGAAGTTGCTTATCCTAAGCACATGACAAGGGTTTGGGCAGCACTGACGTTACTCTGTGAAATCTACAAAGGACAAAAATACTCACATATTTCCCTGTATGGAGGAAAGCCACATGAAAACAATACATGACAACCTGGCAAGACAATACAGATGAAAGCCCCTTACCTATGTGGACATCCAAAGCAGCTGAGGATTTGTCTGTTGTTGGGTCACTGATGAGCATGGCCTTTAGGCCATTGGTAAACGCTAGGCCCCTGTAAACCCGTTTGTCCTCAGGAGAGCGAATTATGTCACTAACCACCCTCTTCACAGCCGGGTCGGTCATTCTGAGTGGCAAGGATGACACCAGCCTGCAGTGATGGGAATCAAATGTACAGTCAAATTTTTAGTGCAGTTAGTCGTGTTCGTGTTCATGTTCATATTCCGATGTAACCCGACATGGTGGCTAAGGGAGAGTTCAGCACTGAGCATCTCTTTTCGGTAAGGCACAGCATGCTTTAGGGACAAAAATCATAAGTGACATTTGTGTATATATTACTGAAGCGTACATGACTAACAAATACTGAGTTAATACACACACTCATTTGGCAATTTATTAAGATCCACCAGATAAAACTAATGCAGTCTAATACAGCCTTCCTGCTACAAATCCTAACTTCATGAAGGTTAGGGTTTGTGTTGTTCTACAGAGGTGCTGATTCAAGCTTTTGTGTTCAACAGCACCACAAACTAAAACCTTCAAAATGATCACACAGTTGAATAAGCACATCTGTGAAATAATTTCAACAAAAACTGAACATTGAAACCTTCATGGCGGTAGAATTTATTACAGGGATGGTATATTAGACTACATTAGCTCCAGCTAGATGTACGTAATTATATATATATATATATATATATATATTTATATATATATATGCTACGTTCGGGCCAGAACTGAGGTCAACTGTGACTTCCAAGGATTTAACATATGGCACAATTAGGTCAACGAGACATTCACTCAAGACTCTACAGCAATGAAATGCAGCTGGTAACATCACTTATGTTGGCGATTTAATGGTCGATGTCGTTCATCTGACATTAAACTGCTTATTTAGATGTGCAAACGCGACGTCATTGTGAGCAACAGTTCTGAAATATAACCAATTAACCCGTAAAAATCACGAGTTGGTATAGCTATTTTTGACTTAGCACTTTTATGTAGAAAAATGCACTTAAATAAGGAAGTTGGTGAGACGTACCTCCAAAAAGGACATTCACAATTTAGTTATTAGTAAGTTGATTAAAAACACGCATACAGGTGCTTCTCCGCGAGTATCGCAGGGATTAGCTATCGTAACTCGCTAGCTAGAGTACGTAAATTAACCCCACTCACGGATGGGAAACTAGCGTTAGCTTGCTAAATTAGCAGCTTAAGCTCCGGAAAAGTTAACAACCATCCAAGTGTCAGTCGGATTGGCTTGTTTAGTTCCGTGTCAACGTTTAATTCACCACCGTTATGAAGTATGCTATTATTCAGCAATTGTACAGATGCTCCCCACATAAACCGTTTTAGCTACCACCTTATGTAGCAACAAAGCTAACAGTTCCAATATAGCCGGTCAACAAACCGGCTTTAACGGCCCGAGCTGCTAACGTTAGTTCGGCAGCTAGCTAACTTGCCGTTTGGCGTGAAAATAGTTTAGTTACTTTTAACTAAAGGTTACGGCATTTGCCTGACAAGACTTACCTAAAATCTTGGTTAAGATGGAAACCGGTACCTGCTGACTGGAGATATCTGGTATACTGGGCAGTTCGGTTAATGCACTTAAACATACTTTGCACCCATGGAAAACAAACCTTGGCTTTTACAGCGCCATCTTAGAATAGACACAAGTAATCAAACGTGGAACAGGGCGTAATTTACCATGGTAGGTTACCAATTCTGCAATGAATTCCACGACTGACTCGTGTAATCACGACGACGTCTATCAATTAGACATATACCTGAAGTTGAACCGATTAGCACATGGGAAATTACCAAGCCTATTTCAAAAAAGTGTGTTGTGTCATTGATTCTGATATTGATTAGGTAGCCTGTCTGTGGATTACAGTTTACGTTCAGCGTATCAGATCGTGTTGCAAACCTTTTGTCCTGCGTATTCAGCTGTAGACAAGTAGGACTGACGAAGTATCAATTAAACTTAAAAAATAAAAACTAATACAAACAAGTAAACTATTTCCTATGTGAAAAATTAAACTGACATAAGGTAGACTGGTGATGTAAATATTGTATTGGTATTAAAGTCAGCGATCCATGAATTTTATTATCTTAAAATATATTAACTGGCAATATTTACCAGGTCAAAACTATAACTAAAAGCAATAATGTGTTCCTTTCCAATCCCACATCTGCTTAGTTTTGGCCAGAAGCGCACACAGATAAGTGTTTATGTTTGCGTTTGTGTGTGTTTGTGGATTCATCAGCAATATGCACATATCAGACGATCAGACCACAAAGAGCTATAGGGCTCCTACGGTGTTGTCACCAGACTCAGTTGCACTAAAACACAGTCTTGACTCAGTGTCTCAGCAGCAGTGGAGCCTCATCATTTGCTCTTGTATCAGCCTTTTTACACCTTGTGGCTGTTTCTCTGACACTGCAGGTTGTAGGTTGGCCTAGTGAGGAGGCACCCTACACATCTTGTTAACAACCTCATGTATTGATTAAATAATAATTTGTTGAACCAAAACTATCGTCAATCCTAACTGTATCTGAAGTAAGAATAGAGATGGAACATGTGTTAAGGCGTGTCTAGCTAGAACATGATTATCTGTCATGACTGAATGAGTGGGGACTGTTGCAACAAGTCACCCTAACTATCCGCAAGCTAAGTAGCCATATCAAAACAATATGTAAAAATGCATTCAAATGTAAAATATATTAGGTTGTTATGTTTATTATAAGCAATAAAAGAAATAAATTGTGCCTATCTTGACTCAAGGTAGGCCTATGTTCTATGCAAAAGAATAGCTGTTCTTTGATACATATCATTAAAGAAAAAAAATGATACCATAATATTATTGTAAAGCAATGCATAAAAACATGTTTTCATAATACTAATCTTAATAAGAGAGAAAGCTAAATTTAATTGGTGAAATTGAATGTATTTTTGATATGTTGCAACTGTCCCCAGGGTTGAGGTCAGTTGCTGAATTCTTCAATTCAAATAGATATTGATGATATGATATGTCACATGTAATCATCTTTAAATGTTATGGGTATTTAGCAGACACATGTAAGTTTAATATGTAAAAGTTTGCCTGGACTAGTCCAAATAGTCTCTGAGTAACTGAGAGGAATGCAAAAAGGTGTTGCAAGCATCCCCATGTCTCCCCTAATGTCAAGATTGTACTGCCCTGCTGTTTGTAAATTCATTGTTCAATAAGGAAATTACTAGTGAAAATAATGTACACATAATGAATTAATAATTAAATCTTTCTTTTAGACTTCTATACCAGATATATTAAAGATATAGAGTCGGAGAGGCTGGATATTGAATGATGTTTTGGTTTCTCTGGCTTACATAGAAGAACTATTTGTTTTCTTTTTGCATGTACAACCATTGGACATTTTTTATCAAAACAAAGAGAAACAAACTGAGCCAATAATACAATTACATTTTTAGATTAGATAAGATTTTTGTAGGTAATGAGATGGACACAGATTTGCTTTCTTTGCACCGGTATTGAGTTAATTCTAGTGGATTAACCTCCACTACCGTTTTAAAGCCTGTTGTATCAGTTGACATCACACAGCCACTAGATGGCGACAGATGTCATTACTTATATATTACATGACATTGATCATCCGTGACTGGAGACCCTTAGAGCAGTAATCCATTACTCTAGTTATCTCATTACTTTACAGCTACACATGACTGCTGAAAATAACTGCTATTACAACATATATAACATCTTTTTACTAATAAAGACTACACACTGGATGTCATTTTAGGTGATCTTTTGACAAGCCTTTAGCAGGTCGTTGTGACTTTTGGACTGTTAGACCTGTTTTTGCACCTGCAGGCTTAAAACAAGACACCAGAGCCAGTTGTCAGACGCTGTTTGAAACACTGTTTGACGCTGTTTGATAACTCCTGTTATCTGTCTCTTGTGTTTGCTCTGAAAGGGGAACAGGGAATGACATTCATAGGATTCTCTCTGCTCCTCCTCTTTTAAACCATTAACAACTACTTCTGTAAATCACTTTGCACTCAGCAGTGAGAGGCTCAGACACTAGAGAGACTTCAGGACAATGGAGGAATTAGCAGGCAGACCAATCAAGAAAAAAGTTGTGGCAGTGGTGGGCGGTGGTTTGGTAAGAGGAAAATGAAAGTGAATTGTTAAATCACTGTAAATCTTGTCTTCTGATCTCTTGACAAAAATTTTTGGGAAGGACAAGGAAGAATTTTTTGTACAATGTGGAAAAAGAAGTGCATTTGTTTTTAAAAGTGTGGAGTAAAGAGTGTTTAGGAGTGGTTCTGCAGCCTAAATACTTTTAATAACATATATTTAAAAGATAATTATTTATTATGTTTATGCATGACTGTGGCAACATGTTCAATGGAATGTCCATATTCCCCTTCACCCTTTAGGTCGGAGCACTGAATGCCTGCTTCTTTGCCAAAAGAGGCTTTGATGTTGAAGTCTTTGAAAGTAGGGAAGGTAGTATTCAAAGCTCATTTTAAAGTCTACTTTTCCACGAGTCACATTTTCACATCACTTCCCTCTTTGAAGAACACGTCCACACATCAAAATTACAATATTCCTGAGTAATACACACACATACACACAGATGAATGGAGGCATTACTCTTTGAAACATTTTCTGTGGTTTTGGTCAGATATCCGGAAAGCCAAAATTGTGAAGGGGAGAAGCATCAACCTGGCTTTGTCTCACAGAGGCCGGCAAGCACTGAAACATGTCGGGATGGAGGATAAGGTATGTTGATTAGGTATAGTCACTGTTAAACTAGTAAAGTGGAAATGAGGTAAGGTTTATCCCAGGACTGCGGTGGCATGGTGACCCTATCTTGCTTGTTTATTGGTCTAAAATGCAGCAAACAAATAAATGGGTAGCTTTTACTTGTGCAGGTCATCCATTATTCCTGCCCATGTAATGTTACTATATAAGTCCTCCTACAGCACACATCATAGGCCAAAGTCAGGGCAGGCAGGTGGAAACCCTTCATTTTATGTTAAGCTTGATTTCTAATAATGAAATATTAAATATGTGATCAAGCCCCAGGGGAATCTGTCCACTCTCATTTCTTTACTTGCAGTCCACTCAAGATGTTTTATTGGGGCATTTCAGGTCCCCATTCTTTTTTGTTGGTCCACATTTGCTGCACTGAGTATATTATGCATGCCTGAGAACTCTGCATCAGACCCTTTTCTTACACTTGCATGACTTTTCAGCCTGACAAAACAAGACCTGCTTTACAAGGTTTTCCACATATACTTACCACGGCAGATACAGAGTGGCCAAATGGACCAGCTGGACTGTCAATGCCATAGTAACCACTTTTTCCACTTATGGATTGCGACTCAAAATCCTATTTGTTTTTAAAGAACCAATGCAAATTATGAAATTCTACAGAATTTATCTTAAATTGTAATAAATGTCAGTTTCGATCTTCTACAGTAATCTGTTTTCCCTCAGATTGTCTCCCAAGGAATTCCCATGCATGCAAGAATGATCCATTCACCAAGTGGGAAACAGTCTCCAATCCCTTATGGCAAGAAAGGCCAGGTAAGGCTGCCAGTGATGTAATGTGCCCAGAGAAACTTAAAAAAGTCTCATTTAACTATGTAACACTATAATAACTGATTAGTCAGCAGTAAGAATATGGTATACAGTCTAATGGTAAGAATAGTATATTAACAACATCAATAATATTTCCTATACTTTCTTTCCAATATTATTTACTACTACCACTTTTGAATACCACTGTTAATTGCTAACGAGAATATTCTGCTAGCACAGTGTTATAAATGTTTGGCTATTAGTAAACATAGTGTAAGAATTGCCTCATGTAAACTTATTCAGTCTGCAGATTAAACATTCATTTCTCAGCTCGCTTCACTTGTACAGAGGCACAAACAAACTACAATTAAACATGCACAATCAGAGATATGTTATGTGAAGTGACTCAAGGATGCACTAAATGATGATCAGTAGAAGTGACAATTTAGTCACAGTCGCATAACAACACAAGTCCGACTAAAATGAGGTTTTTTCGCGTCCTTAATAAACGTGTCCCAGTTATTTGTCTGTATGATTAGTTTGACTGAAAATAGTTTTTTTTAATTACACTGCTCCAGTTTGGCAGGGATTCTTAATCTGATTTACATGATGAAATAAAACAGAAATATTCAAGAAAAAGAGTGAAAGCTTGTAGAGGCATGGGTGTAGGGAGACTATTAGGGAAGGAGAGTATAAACCCAAAGCCTCCTGTTCCTGTTTTAAATGAAGTGTGAAGCTGTAGTACATGCAGAATTGCACTGTGATACAGACTGTTCTCCTTCCAGTACATCCTGTCAGTGGACCGAGCCAATCTGAACAAAGAGCTGCTAACAGGTAAGAACATCAATAGTGTTATGTAATTCAGACAAAATAGTTTTGGAGCACTAACACTGAACACAAAGTCATAGACTGTGCTTAAATAACCAAAATATAGCCAAAGGATAAATAGAGAAATTTAACATTCAAATGATGTATTGTCCTACAGTGTACAAAATTTGACTCATAAAGCGTTTTAGCCCCTTTCAGATCTTCCTTAATCTGATGACATGTTTTTGTCTTGTGTCCGAACAAGCAACCAAGCCACATAAAAAAGGTTTTAAAAGTTATTAGTAGCAATCTTACCTATTTGGATCTAGTAACATTTCAAGAACACTCTCAACACTGCGCAAATATGAACTGAATGCCATCAGATGAACATAGAGGCTGCGGCAGCACAAGGTGAAATATGTACAAACGCAGAGATAGATTAAATGCACATCTTGTAATGTTACCACCTTCTAACAGGACAGTAATATACATTATCAAAATCTTCCTCTCTCATGCACAGAGAAAATAAAATCAGTTTAATAAACTATGAAAAATAATGACAGAGCCAATTTTAAGATTCTTCTTATTTTCAATCAGGCTATAAAAAACATTTTAACGCCTAATACAACCACATTAATTATCCTTCCCTATATTTTTAATTTCCATTCATACCAACTGCATGGATGAATCAATGAATATTTAGCAAAACGCTTTTTGTAGCATTTTAACTACCATTGTGCAACTGTTCAGCTCTCGGTGATGACTTCTAAATGTTCCAAATCTCACTATAGAGTTAACTACTTAGTGTCTGTTCAATGTGAGGGAACAAGGGAGTGGTTTCGTACACAGCCACAGGGTCATTAATCTGCAATATCTACCTGAAGTTAGCTAACATTAGCTGTCATAAGCTACTGGTCATACCAGACCAAATAAGGCTGTAGGGGCTAGCTCCCGTTGTGTATTGACTGGAGGAACCATGTCTTTTACTGCTAATAAATCCAACTTTTTATTTCATTGAGGAAGAATGTGTCTTCCTACAAAAGTTATGGTATCATTTTAAAGGATTACCCTTCCATTTTACAGTGAATTAACACATATTCTTGCATTATACATTCTCATTCTCTCAATACATTCTTAATTCATGAACTCTGCTCCAAGTTGAAAGACATACTCTTTCATCCCACCACATTAGTGCTGTTTGCTTGCGCTGAGCCTTATCCACTGCAGTTACTCCCTGTGCGTTGTTAGTCTTTAAACTGCATGTGTACGTCTGGCAAGATCAGGGGTTGTGTTAGCCTTTTCAGGCTAAAAAGGATTTTGCCTAATATTTAATGAAGTGCCTATGTATATGCTTGGAGATAATGTGTGACAGCATGGCGCTGTCTTTAATTAGATTGCCTGTGTGCTGAAAGATCTTATCAGGGCCGATCCAGACTCCTGGAGTTAATACAGAAATAAAGATTTTGGAAAGTGTGACAGCTTAAACATCAGTTTCCACAAAGCGCAGATACACTGACTGCTTGTTATGTAGTTCAGGAGATTTGTCCTAATCAGCATGTGGTCACTCCCCTACAGTGGGGGATTTAACTGCTTGCGGACAGGCTGTGTCCTTTCTTCATTTTATTAGAATTGCAAAAGTTCCCTGTATATTTTAACAAGATATTACCTGTCACTACACTGCTGCTGTTATGTCATGCCTGCAGCTGTGATATAAGCTGTTTTTGTAACCACAGAGGCAGAGACATATCCAAACACAAAGCTGAACTTCGACCACAAACTGCAGGACTGGAGTGCCGAAACAGGGCTAATGACCTTTGTCAGGTAAATAGTCACTGATCTTACACATGTTCACAGCACGCACACTCACAAACACACACACACACACACACACACACACACACACACACACACACACACACACACACACACATACATAATGTATGGAAGGTTAATCCAAGAGGAGGATCCTCTCTTATTGATCATGTCCCCCTTTGTCCCTGCATGTAACCACATGTGGCCTTGTACATGTTAAGTGCCTGAGGCTTGTGATGGCGATAAACATGTTGCCTTTGAAGGCTTGTTTGGCCGTCCTTGAGGTAAATGTGACACACAATTTACAACCCAATTAACACTGAAACACCTCCAGCTTTTTTTAGTCATCGGAATTAGCGTACCCATGCGGTGAATTATTAACACAGCATGCAGGAGCACAAACTCAGTTTAATTGAATTCAGCCTTATCGAAATTGTGTAAAAATCCATTTTATGTGTTTATTGTTGCTTCTGTTTATTTATTTATTTTCTGTATGCCTGGTGGTCCAACTTGCACCCAGTTGAGAATGTGGATCAGAATGAGTCACCGTGCTGCTTTCGCTGCAGCGAACACACATTTTAAGGCACTTTAACTTAATCAGTTTTTGCTGTGAGTGTGCCTCGAATCCAAGAGTCACCCTGGCGAGCACTTTCCACATCCAGGACACAGCCCCCCCCCCCATTCCCCTGTAGTTGAACTGTGACAGCTCATATTTGCTCTTTCCGGCTTGTGAAATTAAATGTACACGGAGAGACTGATGCCACTGTGATAGCCACTTTCCACCCATAGTAGCCAGGAAATGTTCCGAGATAGCCATCAGCATCAAATAGATGTACATGACCTCCTTTCTTCTTCTGGCCTGAGCTATAATCATACACCAGCTACCTTATTGCTGTACATATAATAACATGTTGATGAGGTCTTAGAATATCAGTAAACACTGTTTGTTATCTGATTAAGTTTTTGAGATATGGCATCTTTAGGTGGAAAGCTGTAGCACAGACACAATGTGAAATCAGCATTCCATGGTGAGTTTATTGTCACTGTAATTAGGAAACCAGATATTGTCAGACTCACTAGATCAATTTACAAACTTATTGGTCACTATGCACATTCAGTATTTTCATACAACTATTTTTAATGTCAAAATAAAGCTGGTCATTGAACTAAAAAAGATAATAGGAAGCTGTATATCAGTCTTCTGTAGGATTTATTCTTACATATGTACATGTATAGCATTAACATTTAGCCACATTAGTAGTGTAACTGTATGGATGCAATGTGGGTGTTTCGGTTGGTTGTCCAGACTGAAATACGTCAACACTTATTGTATGGATTGCCGCAAAACATTGTCCGAACTGTCCCCAGAGGATGAACCCTAAAGACTTTGGCGATCCCCTGAATCCTCCTCTAGTGCCACCATGAATTAGACATTTTTGGTATCGAGTGAAATATCTTGGTGGATTGTCATAAAATTTAGTACACATCTGTGAGGAACACCCAATATGTTGCCCTCAGGATGAATTTGAACATCTTTGGTCAGCCCCTGAATTTTACTCTAGCACCTTCATCAGGCCACAATTTTGATTTTTTTAGTGCTAGTGTTTAGTGCTAATTAGCAAATATTAGCATGCTAAATTAGTAAAGTGGTAAACACAAAGGTACATAAACATTCTGTACCTGCAACAATCAGCCAGTCACTATTGTCATTGGAATTAGTATGCTAACATTAACATTTAGCTCAAACACCACTGTCTGAGTACAGCTAGAGCTGCTAGCATGGCTAGTCTTATTTCAAATTACAAAAGTGAAATGTGTGAAGACCCAGTACAGACTTAAGCATTGTGAATGCTTTATGTTTTGACCTGCTCCACCTGTGACCTACACAGCCCCCACAGATTCATACAAGATGTGACCTTAAATGGATAAATAGTCTACATATAGTCATGTTTGGGGTGTAGAACAATTAAAATGAATTACACTCTGCAACGTTGTTTGTTAATGTGTAAATAATTAAAATGAGGTTTAAAGCAATTAATCCATTATAAAAACATTATGTGGACTGCAAGGATCTTTGAATAAGATCATAGGATGCTTAGAAAAAATTCTGATGTACTTAATATTGAAGTAACAGATGCATCAGCATTTCCACTTGGGTCATAAATGTGTACTGGCCTGTGAACAGCGTCAGATCTCAGAGCCAACATTTAACTCCCATGTAGCTTCAGGCATCATGACAGGAACCATTTCCATATGGCACATCAGACTGCGTCTGGGGATGTTGGGAATATTCATGCTTGCTGCCTGAAGCAGCTCTTCAATACCATCAGCAGATGCACCAAACAGTATAATGTGTTTGTAGTTGTCAGAGATGCCATCGTCATGATCACCATGGCTCAGAGCCAAATTAGCCATTACTGTTCAATGACTATGTTATTCAATTTTGTAATCTCCATTTGAAAAAAATATCATGAGATCAAAAAACCAAACCATGAAATGTGGTAAATCCAATAAGATATGAGAATACAAAATGTCAGAGGCCTAATTTCACACTGTACTTATGGGAAAGCCAAAAAAATCAGCAACTTTAATTGAACTCCTGCAGAGGAAAAGATAGTCTCAAAATCCTCTACGTTCATGATAAGAGACGAAGTGTGAGAGGGTCGAACTCAAACACACAGCTCTCAGTCTGAATCAAACCCAAAGCACATAGCCACTGAATATATTTTAATGTTTAATAATGTATGTATATTTATTGAGGAAGACTTTTTACATACCCGAGTGCCAGCCTGGGTGAAAGGTGGGCAGGAAATTGCTTCTAAGAAGTCTAATGAATGTCTGTGACCAAAATGTTGCCTTTGCTCATTAAATAATTAATGCGTAGATTTCTTATGGGTATTTGTTTAATATTAGGGTTCCTCAGGCTACGCATTAATTTGCTTGTTAAATCAAATTAAAGTCTTGTACAGCTAAGTTATTTAGCTTATATCCAAATATATATATATATAGTATATTGAAGTGAATTTGTCATTTTGCTGGTTTGTGTCTCAGGGCAGACGGATCCAATGACCAGATCAAGGCCGACCTAATTGTAGGCTGTGATGGAGCTTTCTCTGCCATCCGCAAGCAATTCCTCCGTCGCAGCCGCTTCAGCTACAGCCAGACCTACATCCCCCATGGCTACATGGAGCTCACCATGCCGCCCATCAATGGAGAGGTCAGTCCTCTGTACAGTCCCCTCTGTTTAATGTGGGCGGTAAGATGCTGCCAGTATCAGACTCACAATTTGTTGGCACAATTGTTTTCTTTATTTCTTTTTTTGTTTGTCCCACTTTCATCATCTTCAGTTTGCCATGAAGCCGAATTATCTGCACATCTGGCCGCGAAACACATTTATGATGATCGCCCTGCCCAACTTGGTGAGTGTGAATTCTCTTTTTGTTCTCTCTTGTGTTCTTCAAACTGCACCTGTAAATGAACATTAGCCTATACAAGATGTTCATTTGTGAGGTTATTACGTCACATCATTTGGCAACCACTAGCTGTAGCAGACAGACAAAAGTGTAATTTCAGGGCATGATTGACCTCTGGCTTGCCCTCATAGAGTTAATTAGCCTACTTTACAGTAGAGGCTTAACCATCAGAAATCATCTGAAAAACGTCTTGGCTCCTGAGGATCACCCTGGATTAAACACAGCAGTTGTGTCCTCCTCATCTGTCGCTGACTTCTCTTTGTCCCTCCTGTCCTTCCTAATCCCACAATGATTTTTCTGCATGGCTGACTCAGCACAGCAGTTTTTGCTCTCCTCACTGAGGCCAGGTTAAGGCAGCTGACTTTGAAGTACATTCGCACTGTCACTCACTGCCCTAGTTCCCAGGAACACATTAGAGCTGAGAACAAAACAAAAAAACATCCTTGCTGCTGTGGATACCATGGTAACAGAGATGGTGCTAAAAGGTCCTCGAGGAGGACTTTGTGATGTTGATGGATAGCACCTGCTCAGATGGGCAGATAATGACACGCCCATAACCTCAGTGCACTTTCATCCATCACTTGCACTGGGTGGACTTTGGCTATTACGTCAGCACTGAGGATGGAAGATTCTGTAATGAGGATTTTGCAGAGAGGATTTTGCAGACGTGACTGTATAAAAACTGAACAAATAATAGAATAGGCATTCACCGAGGACTTAATTACAAACAGCTGTGCGCCCACTTATTCATGTAATTATCCAATCAGCCAATCATGTGGCAGCAGTGCAGTGCATAAAATCCTTCAGTTAATGTTTCATCAAACATCAGATTGAGGAAACAATTTGAGCGTGGCTTGATTGTTGGTGCAAAGACAGGCTGGTTGGAGTATTTCTGAAACTGCTCTCCTGGAAGACTCAGAATAGTGCCAGTGTTGGTGCTGACAGAGCAGGCTACAGTAACTCAGATAACCACTCTTTACAACCGTTGTGAGCAGAAAAGCATCTCAGAATAAACAACATTTCCAACCTTGAGGTGGATGGGCTTACAACAGCAGAATACCACATTGGGTTTCACTCCTGTCAGCCCAGGAGTGGACACCAAGCCTGGTCTAATGAATCTGGGGCAGCAGATGATTGGGTCAAACCATGGACCCAACCTGCCTTGAGTGTTGTTGCTGACCACGTGCCTTCCGTGTTAGCAGGGTAATGCTCCATGTCGCAAAGCAAAAGTCGTCTCAAACTGGTTTCATGGACATGACGATGAGTTCAGTGAACTTCAGTGGCTCATTCTTGACATTGGGAAAACTTATCTGTAATAAATTACTCCAAAGAGAAAGCTTACTTACCTCTCTGTTCCTGAAACACTTATACATACATACATTGGTACTTAAAATTTGATAAATACTTTTGAATACAGGAATTTTACTTGTTAGTGTTTCTACACTGTGGTAAAGTGTAAGAGTTAAGTAAAAGTTTTGAAGACTTCTACCACCACTGGTGACCATGTTAGCATGCTGATGTGAGCATTTAGCTCAAGTCACCACAGTGCCCAGTGTAGCCTCACAGAGCTGCTTGTATGGCTGTAGACTCTTGTTATTACAGGGCTTTCTTTTTGAAAATGACCACACATTACCATAAAGATAGTTCTGGTTTTACACTGTGCCGACGTCCTATTGTTGGAACAGTGGGCGGTAAATAGTTAATCTTGTAAAGCATCTCGCAGTGTTAGTGTTTAATAAATGTTATGTATGTAAAGATGGTTCCATTTAACTTGGCAAGAAAGCTGTCACAATGGATTGGAGAGCTAACATCACTGTACACTTTTTTTTTCAATTTAGGACAAGACATTCACCTGTACCCTCTTCATGCCCTTTGATGAGTTTGAGAAGATCACCACAGGAGATGAAGTCATTGAGTTTTTCGAGAAATACTTCCCTGACACAATACCACTAATAGGAGTGTAAGCCCCTCTCTCTCTCTCTCTCTTTCCCTTCTCCACTGTCTGTTATCTCTTTCTTACCCTCTGCCTTTATCTCCTCATCCAACCTGCCAGGCCATCTCAAAAACATTTTCATTTCCCATCATCCTGATGACTCCAGCCACATCCAGAGCAATCATCCGTGAAGTGTGAAATTGCAGACGCGCAGTTACATGGCTTTGTGCAGTGCGGTTTTAATTAGAGATGAACCGTATGTTGTGGGTGACGGACGGATAAGGGGAGGCATGAGCTGTAGAAACGCTCCAGGCTTTCATTCAATACACTTCCTCTCTGGGTTGATTGTATTTGGAGTGCTCAGGCATAAACAGCTGAACCCATGCTTTCCTTTTCGACGGTTTAACTTGTGCAGTGCAGACAGAGCATGGTTGTTTTAGCTTATTCAGTCGTAACAGATGTTTTTGTAGGAAGCAAATACACAAAATCTGCTGTTCTGAAAAATGCAACAATCAAAATGAACCACTCGGTGAGTTTGTAATTGTTTCATTTCCATTTGTGCCTCGCAGTGATGCACTCAAGAGGGATTATTTCCGATTGCCTGCGCAGGCCATGGTGTCTGTCAAGTGCTCCCCGTATCACATTAACGACAAATGTGTCCTGATGGGCGACGCAGCCCACGCAGTGGTGCCTTTCTATGGGCAGGGGATGAATGCTGTGAGTATCACTAAACTGAGGGCAAGAAAAAGCAGCAAATAATTAAAATGGAAACTCATTCATCCGTTCATGCTTTACAGGGCTTTGAGGACTGCATTGTCTTCGACGAAATATTGGAACAGTTAAATGAGGATTTCAGTAAGTGCTTTTTAAATGAACCAAGATTAAAGGAGATACAGAGGATAAACTGATAATTGTTGAGGCTGTTTTCCATTGTGTATCTGTGCAGGTGCTGTACTGCCCGAGTATACCAGAGTGAGAGTTCCTGACGACCATGCAATTGCAGACCTGGCCATGTACAACTACATTGAAGTAATGCATATTAATTTGATATGATTAATTTAACCTCATGCTTTATGATGTATATCTCTATGCAATACTGCAGCTATTTAAATGGGGTTAATGTGTCTATTAGAAATTGATTACCCCTACTACTTAAAAGGTAGTGACTCCAACTATTGAGATATTTTACTTAAGACAGTTGCAATATCATAGTTAGAAAGTAACAATATTCCAACATATTGCTCTATTACAAGTGAAACAAGTTCACTTGAAGCAATTATATTCATATAATAACATATAATAACAATGGATCAGTTAGCTGTTAAAAGTGGATGGTGTTGCTCATAGTTACAAACCCACATAGAATCGTCACCAAACTCTGCAGTTTCTCCGTGCATTGTTTTAGCTTCTTTCAGCTCATTGTTTTGGTTTTTCGTCCTGCGACTTCTCTCCTCTCTGCTTCAGTTTCATTGTTTTCAAAAGGCGTTTTTTTTAGCAAATACACACCCACTGGACACCACCTGTTCAGCACCAGACAGCAGACAGACAAAGTTAGCTACTAGCTAGTGAAAGTAGTTTAGCATTTAGCAGCTAAACAGCCAGATCCTACTTTTGCCACATTTTTTACTATGTAGTGATAACTATAAATCATCTTTTACATGTAAAATCCTAATCTGAAAAGTAAATACTCACAATAGCTGTGAAATAAATGCAGTACAAAGTGGAGTAAAAAGTACAAATTAAATGTTGGCAAGTAGACATTTGAAGTAGCATAAAATGTCAAAGCATAAAGAAAGTACAAGTAATACTTTAAAACTGCATATAAATACAGTATTACAGTAAAGGTACTTAGTTATAATCTACCACTGGGGCTGGCTTAAGTAATGATGTGCAAGCGAGACTGATTCTCTCTAACAGTTAGTGTCAATCAAACAATCACCTGACTCGGCACACTTGTCTGAATCAGTCACTGGTCTGATCATCACTCTGTGAGTCTAGTGCATTGTGAACTCCCCTACAATCTGCTCTAAGTCCAACTTCTCTGCTTGTTCATTCTCACTGTAAAATATAACCAGTTCACTCAAAAAGTGGAAAGGTGCTGCAAACCTCTCTGAATGTAGAAGGGAATGTAGAAATGACAGCTGAAAGATCCACTGTCAGTATTTTAGCATTTAGCGTTTAGCTGGACCCGGCACGCACCCGGTTGGTGATGCAACATGGCTGATGTGTTTGATTTGGGACACGAGCCTCAGTTGCTGAGTTGTGCATCCCATCAGCAGCTTCTTCTCGGCTGCAGTTGCTCATTGGCTCTTTTCAGTTGTTGCATTGACGCGGTTAATCATAAATCTGTAGATGTATAGAATGGCCATTTATAGTCATAAAATAAAACATAAATAGTCATGTCCGGTTCTGGGTTTGCCAACTTCAAAAATCAGTTTATATTTAAACTCTCCATCACATCTGACAGCTGGACAGCTACCTGACCATCTGCCCTTTAAAATCCATGCACTCAGAAAGCCAGAAATTGTCGCTAATCTTACAGATCTCAAAAGTAACCACAGCACTTTGTGTTAACTTAATCCCCTTCTACTGCAGCTATGCCCTGAAGAGTAGAGGAGATTGTGTGGCATTTCTGATATAGCTGTAAGAACTATTTAACAAAATCACAATATGAAGGCCAGATGGTTCCCGTCACTAACACATGCACTGTTTTGTTTCGCAGATGCGAGCACATGTCAACTCCAAATGGTTCCTTTTCAGAAAACATGTCGATAACATCCTTCACTGCATCATGCCAAAGACAATAATTCCACTTTACACAATGGTAAGCATCCTAATAAAACAAATGATTGCTGTCACTTTGCTTTGTCTACTACAAAATCCAAATCATTCTCTGTCCTTCACTGTCTCCAGGTCACTTTCACTAGGACAAGATACCATGAAGCCGTGATGCGCTGGCATTGGCAAGACAAAGTAAGACACCTTAGACACCTTCATACACTTAATTCTTTGGGGGTATTTCATACCTTTGAACATTTTAGTGCTGTAATTCAGGGCTCTTTTGAAGTCACAGTATTATCAACAGCAAGCATAAAAAGCGGCTGTAACTCTCAGTGAGTAAACACTTCGCCTTTTAGAAACATTTGATTTATTGTACCACAAACACAGCTTTGCTGCACCAAGAAATATTTCTGATTTCTCACACTTGGCTGTAGCAGCCAGTTAGTCCTTGGCACTGTGTTGAATTGTCAAATGTGACCTGTCCCGGTGGCGTATGTGCTAATGGACCACTGTCAGATGGACAGTGGGGATTGTCACAGCCTCCCTTGTAAAGTGTTTAAACCCGTAGGGATGTTTGGGCAAAGGGTGAAATGACCTCTATGGGGGGGGGGGGGGAGCAAAACTACTGCATGAAGCAGCATATGCAGTAGCAGAGAATAATTGTTAACAAAATAATAAAATAATGCAGTATTAAAAGATAGCGGTCAGCCGCAGGGAGGGCATTGTCTGTGTTTTAGCCAAGTGCAGGGAGGATGTTGGAATTAAAAGGTGAAGATCACGCTGAACTTTGAAGATTATATAGCTGGATGTAGGAAAAAGTATGAGGCATTAAACTTTTGCTCAAAGTTATAAAGAAAACTGATTATGATATCCCAGTCACATTATTTTACATAAAATTATGTTAAATAGGTTGGATGTTTTTGATTTAAAGGTATGGTTTGGGTTTTTTGATGTGGGGTTGTGTGAGGTAGTCATATATAGTCGGTACATTACCTGCAGTAGATTCTAACCAGCACTCCCAGTTAGGAGATCCGACCAAGGTTTACCGGCAGAGTGGCAGAGCACGGGGCCATCAGAAAAAAATCTGTTTTAGTGACTTTTATTGTAGGTTTGTATGAGTTTTCATTGTAGATTAATTTTTACATATTGAGGATATATGTTATTCGCTGAATAAAAGGTTCTATAGGTTATACCAGCTGTTATTTGGAATTAATTAGCTAGAAATGTACAAATATAACACTGCCATTGTTTACTTACAGAGCCTTCCTTTGCGCAAAATGATCTTAAAACTATAGGATTTGAATAATAGAGTGTACCAGAGACATCAAATAAAGCATGATAGGTTTATTACTTTGCAGTCGTGAATTCATTTACAAAGCCTAATGTGAAGGTGTGAGGAACAAATCAGTTTGCTTGCATAAAACTGGCAAGAGGATTAAGATTTTCTTTTAATTTATTTCACAGGTGATAAACCGTGGCCTGCTGTTCAGTGCTGCAGGAGCTGTTTTGGGAGGCTCATACCTGCTCATTAAAAATCCTCCAGATATAAACAAGCTCATCATCCCCGCTGAGAAAATCTGGAACAGGCTTCTGGCCCTACGGACATCTTGAGCACTGGCAGACCCTCTGATCTGACAGACAAGTGTTAAGACTGGTGTGTTAAACACTAGAAGCAATTTAGGGGGTCTGGATTTTAATTAGAGTTTGATTGAGTCCTCTAATTCACAATGAAGGCCCTGCCAGGCAAATGAATGTACTGTAGTAATGATTGTTGAAACTTCCATCATTATATATATCATACCATTATCCATCATAATGATTGATAATATAATTTTAAACATTTTATCAGTGTGTAACTGATTTGGCTGGAGGTCTCCAGCAGCAGATTTTTTTAGTCTTTAAATTTGATTTTCATTACATCATCATCATTATTTGCACAATTTTTAATTTTCAAACAAAATGTCAGTATTAAACTCAGGATCGGGGGCAGGGCCGAGGACAGTGGTTCTCAAAGTGAGGTCCGGGGACAACCAGGGGTCCTTGGAGGGGTTCCTGGGGGTCCTCAGCAAAAAGGGGAATAATTTATTTTCACTATAATTCAATCTATGAATAACACAATGACAGAATGTATGACTATTTTACTCATGGGTTTCAAACACTTTCTATAAGAATGTTAAAAAGTGTAAGTAGCACTGGTCTGGGGTATATTTGTATGAGTTTATTCTGATGCTTATAAAAGAATTGCAAATAAATGTTCCCCCAGTTCATAGATACTGTATGATCATATTTTTGATTTTCCTCTCAATGACATCTACTTTACACAAAATTAGGGGCTTTTTGGGCTCATATCATCTCTGTATTAAACAAATTCTTGAACTTACAATAACAGATTTTTTTGGCCACTTTTTTTTCCCTTTTTTTTGGACCATTAAACAATTAGCTTAAACTATATTTTTGATATTTTGGTAAGTAACTTTATTCGCTTTCTTTCCAAGGGTTAGATGAAAAGGTCAATACCACTTTCATGTCTGTCCATTAGATATAAATGTAGCATCTTGCAGATTAGCTTAGTTTAGCATTAAGACTAGAAGCAGGGAAAAACAGCTGCCTGAAGTTAACAAAATCCGTTTAGAAACACATGTGAATCTCATTAATTAACATTAGTTTTCATGCCATACTTCCTCTTTAAAACTTTTTAAGTTATTTTTAGGGAATTTTTATGCCTTTATTAGATATGATTGTGAAGAGAGACAGGAAACGCAGGGCTAGAGAGCAGGGGAATGACATGCAGCACAGAGTCCAGCTGGCTGGGAGGCAAAGTGGGGACTTGCTGCTCAGGGCATTTGTGCCCATATGGTATGCACCCTAACCACTCAGCTATCTGGTCACCCTAATTTATCATTTTTACACTACGGTTTTTGCTACAGATTAACAATTGAGATACAACATGTAAATTAGTGAGCACTAATATATATATATATATATATATATATATATATATATATGGTATTTGTTTTTATACTGTTTGGTTAAAAGAATAGTGTGACATTATGGGAAATATGCTTATTCACTTTCTTGCCAAAAGTTAGATGACAAGATTGAGTCCATTCTTATATCTGTATGTTTAATATGAAGCTAAGGCCAGGATAGCTGGTTAGCTTAGTGTAGCATTAAGGCTGGAAATTGGGAAACTATATATATATATATATATATATATATAAGAAAGGCAAGAAAGTGAATAAGCATATTTCCCATACTGTGATACTATTCTTTTAACCAAATAGTATAAAAACAAAGACCATTGACTCACTCAGTCACACATCCTCACTGAATTACCAGCTATGGAAATCCATTCATCAAGTCTATTCATAGCTGACAGCCCAGAAGGTTATGAAAGGAACATTTTACCGGGGCACACCGAGGTCCCAGTCTCATCTCCTCTTACCTAATTACACTCCTGTAGTCTCCATACATATAATTCCACCAAATGTCATTTCGCAGTGACTGCTCTCGTCACTCTGGGTGCTTAGACTGAAATAAGATAAGGTATACAAGCTTGGTAGCTTAAAATATGATCCTCTTTATTGAATCCATACACAGTAATGTCAGTTTGTGTACTATGGTTTATGGCTAAGGAGCTAAGGCTTATTTTCCATTTTACACAATTGCAGTTGGGTACCAACCAAAACAATTTACTATTACATGCTAATCCAAACTCAGGTCCTTAACACCACTGGCCTCTAAATGCTCGACACAGTCCTACAGTTGTCACATATACTAAATGGCATATTTGACAAACAAGTGTGATTCTTTTTCTAAGAGAAACATAATTGTTAACTACATCATTATGTACGAATGTCACCACAGCTGATGTCAGATGAGGATGTCACAATTTCATCAGGAAACAGGTTATGATGAGATCTTGGGTTGACAGTGGGATATTTACAGTTGATTAGTAACAAATCTGTAACTGTGTTTAGACGCAGGAACGTCTCAGGAGGTCAGACAGGATTATTTGGTTTGGAATTGCATGTTATGTCCTAAGGCATACTGAGTGGTGGGGTGAGAAGTCCAGTCCTTGAGGATCACAGTGGCCTCACTTGAATGACATTGACCTCCGAGGAACTTCCAGCCTTGGAGGTCACATCAAGGTGGCGGAAGTCATCGCTGGTGATGATGAAAACGATGGAGGAGGAGCTGAAGGTCACCCTCTTTTTGGGTCGGTCCCTGCTGCCACATGCGCCGGACACGACGATGGGCCGGATGGGCCGCTGGACTGGAGCCAGGGGGCGCTCTTTGAGGCTGCGCTGCAGCCAAGAGAGCCGCGAACAGAGCAGCTGCAGCAAACAGCGCCGGAACTGTGAGAAGATGAGGAGGAGGAGAAGCAGAGCGAAAAGATAAAAGGATGGTATTTAACAAGGGGATGAAATAGCACCCTGTCCTCACTCATTTGTCTGTCAAACAAGATACACACAAGATGTCAGCCTCCACGGATGGTGTAAGTGACAATTTCACTCCTACACACATAATAAATGCATTCTGTACGTTTAAATAGAAGAATGCTATGATGCTGATTTCATTCACATTTTTTGAAATAGTTCTTTTCCCACATTTTGCTGAATTTTACCTTTAAACAACCACTTGTAGAAAATCAAAGTCTGCAGTATTTTGTGTAAAAATGCTTCCTGAAATGCTCACTAATCTTATGGTTTTTCTACTCAAATCACAAACTGAAACAGTACTACAGGAAAGCAAACCATCGGCCCTATTTGAGATGCCATTGATTTGCTCCATTTGCCCATATTAAATTCTAAGTTCAGCTGTGGTCACTGGAGGGGGGAAAACAATCGACTGAATTCACAGGAAGCAGCCAATCAGAAGTCTCCGGTGAAACATGGACCACTGACTTCACCCTCATCAGCCACACAGAGAAAGAAATTAGTGCTGGAGAGGAAGCTTCAGAGGTACAGTATAGGTAGTTCCTAAAGTTGATCTAGAATTGAAGGTTCTTTCTTGAAAACATAAGAAATAAAACAAAAACGTACGGCTACAAACCTTTCTGCTCATGAACACGTAGATGAGGGGATTGTAGGCTGTGCTGGACTTGGCAAAGAACGAGGGGATGATGGCCAGCGTGGGAGAGACCATGCTCTTTCTGCCAAAGGCCTCCATCATGGACACAACAGCGTAGGGCGTCCAACACACCAGGAAGCAGGAGATCATCAGGAGAAACATAACGGCGACCTTCTTCTCGTACCGCAAGATCTTGATGATCTGAACCGTCTGGAGGTCCTGGATGGAGCGCAGCTACAAGAAACAGGAGAGAGTACCATGCTATCATGAGGGGACATTAGCCTAACAATTGGACAGACTTGTGCCTGTGACCACATTGTTGCTGGTCTGGATCAAAGTCTGTGGTTTAACCGGGCAGTCCCTGAGCAGGTTTGACTATTTGAAAATGTATATGCATGTGGGAGAAAAGTAGGAATAAATACCTTAATCTGACGCCAAGACTCTGCTAGTCCGACTGTTTGTGTTGTAATAATTCAACAGCATTCGTGAAGATTATAGCCGAGTCATGTAAATTTGTAATTCGTTTTTTGTGCCCTGAAAAGGTAAAACTCTCCAACATTTCACAAGGGCAAAGATTCTAAAAGAATCCAAATAAAACTAACATTATTTTATTTTGTAGAAATGTTTATGTCTTCTTCCCTAACATATTAATCATCTGTGACCGTTCTGATTTATCTTGCGACCCCTTTGAAGGATCCTGACTTCAAGGTTGGAAACTGCAAATTTAAATGACCTTCAATCACTTGTAAACACATTCTATGCAAGTGTGAGGGCAGCAGTTTTTCAGTCCAGCTTCAGTCGACAACTGGTGAGTTCACAGACTAAAAATTGAGGATTTTGCAGAAACTTTACTGCTGAACATGAACCACAAAATAGGACATAAGACAAGTGACATATTTGTAATTTGAACATCTTCTCTCTCTGCATGTGCCATTTACTATGGAGACACCTTTAAATTAAGACTGTAACATTTGCTGAAAAGCAGCTACTGAGGATAAAAGTAGCAATGATGGCAAAATGCTCATGCTAACACATAATGTGTACAAGCAGTAGCACAAGTAGATAAGAGCCATAATGTCAGAGAAGTGCAACACTTATCCACACTTTGCTAACATTAGCCATCTAGCTAGTGGTCATACCAGACCAAGTAAGGCTGTAGCAGTGAAACCTGAGTGCACTGAATAGAGAAATTGTGTCTTTTTGCTAATAAATTTAAGTTTTTATTTGTAAGAAGAAGAAAGTGCAAGTTTTTCTTTCTGAAGTTACAAAGTATTCATTTAAATCATTAATAAAAGCAGCTTTAGCATTGACAATATGTCTATTTAAGGCCTAACAACTGTTTGTAAGTGTTCACTGTGCAGCATTATTTCCATGAGTTTGGCAACAGCTATAAGCTATAAGCTATAAGCAACGTTGCAATAACTCAAAAATAGTGTGGGTGACTGACACTGTATATTACATTATACCCTTAAGCGAAAGGGATGAGATGATAACGCATATGGTTATTTTCCAGACTCCCTCAGGACAGTCTATAGCAGCTGATTGAATCACTGCAAGCTCCTATTTTTATTCATGAATTCACAAGGCCTGTTTTTATTTATGTTCCACATTTCTTATGAAGGCATAATCTACTTCCATGTTCATGTTCTACTGTTCTCTAGTTTTTCAGATGTCAATGATGAGCTCTTCTTGCTCTGCAAAGCAGGCCAAGTACTTTTCGTTTCTTTTTCTTTTCCTATCAAGCCAATACTCTGAAGGGTTCAGAGACCTTCTCTTTGAAGATTTTCATAGCATCTCCCAAAATGCTGTGACGTGTGATGAGTCCTCCCAGGCCTATGAAGAGCTCAGGGAGTTGCAGAGGGGCTGAGAGTTTTTGTGGTGCTCAAGCTTGAGGCTGTGAGGAAGTAGCAGCTCACACTTCCTACTAGGAAGTAGAGATAGTAGTTGCAGCCAATTGTGATGCAGACAGACATGTGGGTCATTTGATTAGAATTTCAGTGTTTCTCTCATTTACATGTTTACTTTCATATTTTCCTGTTCAAACACTTGGGTGACCATCTGCTTGACAGTACAAACAGATGAAGATGAGACAGATACAGATTCCCTAATTTCTCTCAGAGACAAAGGCACTTCTCCAGTGTTTTTGCAGGAATCATTAACATGAATGCTTAACTCTCCTCCCACAGCCAGCTCGACTGTCCTTTATTACCATGCTGTCTCCTGGGACTGATAACATCATTGACATTTAAAGACTGCACTCCTAAGGCTCAGCACAGGCACAACAAACAATGAGCTTTCCAACCATTTCCACTGTACAGAACAAGCCACAGACACATACTATAATAATAATAAAATCTGTAATGAAAGAGAAGTGAAAGGCATCACTTAGCCAGTAAAGGTCAATGTGTTCCTTTTTGTAAAACCAATTGAAGTCTATATCAAAAGTAATGACATCCCAAAGATCTTCATATCTTGCATACATTTAATACTTCTGTTTTACTACTTCTTAATCTGTTATTAGAAAACACTAAAATGAAGAAAATGTATGTGTGTTCATTGCTACATATTCACAGCTTATAACATTTGAAATAGCTGAAATACTGAAGGCCAATTTAGTTGAAGTGGCAGTTAAAACAGTATGAGTGATTTACGTCAGAGTGTCAGTTCAAGTGTAACCTGAGTGAATTTGAAGTGAAAGTGCTGAAAGGAGCTGAAATGTCAGTCAGTGTATGTGATAGATTGATGAGGAAGTGTGCTGAAGTGGAAGTCCTGAATTAAATGATTGCCAGTTTGTGTAGTTAAAGTGAAAAACTGTGGTAGTTAAAGTGTCAGCTGAGGTGTGTGTGAACAGCAGAAGTTGTGGGGGGTAGGGACTGAATTTTGTTGTTGTTATTCAAAGCTGACGACCCCAGATCTGAAAGGGTTTGACGTGCCACTCAAATTTAATGTGTTGAAAGCAGCTGATGAGTTGTTGTTTGCTGCTGAAATATCAGTTGATGTATAAGATCTGAAAGTGTTATGTTGAGATATACTAGTGGATAAATAAATAAAAAAATTAAAGGTCCCATATTGTATAAAGGTAAATGTCCATGTCTTTTTTGATTGTAAAGAAGGTCTAGGTTCTAATACAACTTGTATTCAGAAACTGAGCCTTAAAATGTGCCGTTAAGACTTCTGTAACTTTGTGATGTCACAATGACACACTAACCACATTCAACCATTTCCCAAGCCCAGCCCACCTGCACCCACCATCCAGCCTTGCAGGATTTGGCTTCGCTGAGTGTTTACCTGAAATCCGATTTATTTTTATTACATCACTCAGAAAACAGTCAGCCAATCAGAAGAGAGGCTCGGAGCCTCCTCTCCTCTGATTGGCTCACTGACCTGTTGTTACTAGAGCTCCAGAGAGAAGCCTGAGAGAGGAGATGTAAAACTACACTGAGATGGTTTTTGGCTCTTAAAACCACAAATATATCTTCTTATGGATCAACACTTCAAATAAAACACAGGAGAAGAGGAAAATATGGACCTTTAATTAATTTAAGTATGGGACCAATAACCTTGACTTTAGGTTTTCAAATTTGAGAATTTGCAGATTTTCCTTGTTTTACATTGTAGGAAAATTAAGATCTCTGAGTTTTGAACTGTTGGTTGGACAAAACAAGGCATCTGATGACGTCACCTGGGGCTCTAGGAAACTATGGATATTTTTTACTCTTTGTTGATGTTTTATAGCCATTGACTTATTGTAAAATAATCTAAAGATTAATTGCTAAACATGCATAGACATACAGTCATGTTTAATGTTTCCCTCCAAGTATCCTTGATCAGAACCCAAGTTCATTCACAAATCGATGTAATTCGTTCTGTTTAGTAGCCTAACTCATTCATAATTTATTAAATACACTAACAAATAAACAGAAAAATTAGATCTGCATGCCTTACCATCTGCACTGTATAGAGGATGTTCCCGTAGCAGTAGATCATGACACCAACAGGCACAAAGAAACAGGCCAGGAGGAAGAAGAGGATGAAGGAGGCATCATTTGGGTCCTTTGAAGCCCAGTCCAGAGAGCAGCCCAGCTGGTGGATCTCCAGAGTGTAGCGGTTCCACCCCAGCAGAGGAGCCCCTGTCCAGGCCAGGGAGTACAGCCAGATGTGGGCAATGGCCCGCCAGGCCCAGGGGAAGTCCACGACCTGGGCATGGACCACCCGGATGTAGCGTTCATAGGCCAGGGCTGCCAAAGTCATGATGGAAACAATGCCTGGCAGCGGAGGGAGAGAGACAGCCACGCTGAGTAATGCAGAGCGCTTACTGTGGGATCTGGGTCAGTGGCTACTCAGCGTCTCTTTAGATTGAACGTGTTTCATCACAGTCTGTATAAACAGGATCCAGAACATCTTGGAACTGAACATAAAACTCAAACATTTTGTGGTGAATCACTGAAAACTCACAGAAAGACTCTTGACTCCCACACACACACACCTCTAAGACCTAAGACCATCTGCATCGTACAGCCTGGCTTTTTTCTACACAAAGTAACATAGTTTGGCTTTAATGCTGCAAAAGTCTTATATTCAAATACCTGAAGCTCTCATGTTCACCTTGCACATCACTTTGCTCTCAGTTTTATAATGCTTGTAAGCTAGGGAGCACATCTGCAAGACATAGTCATGATTCTAAAATTGATTTTCTGTCAATGCACATCACACTCTCACATAACCTACATATCTATCCAATTGCATACTCCAGTACCCTTTTCAACTCTGTCACTTATCATTCTCTATATTCAGTCAATAAATGGACACACAACTTACAAACACACTTTACAGGGAGTTGTTTCACATTACGCGCTGAGCTCAAATCACAGCTGTGGGGCTAGGGTTTGAGTAGGAAGGATGTGCATTAACAGCACTATAGGGGCTTATTTCTGCAGCCCTGTGGCCCGTGTGTGTGTGTGTGCATATGTGTGTGTCGGTGACACTGACACCAACCTCCGCTGGGTAATACAAAGCGCAAAGATGATGGCATGTAAAGAGGAGTGGAGGACGCAGACAGAGCTGTGAGATTTGTACACTTGAATTTCCATATGACAACCTGTGTCAGCAGGGAGCCATATAATATAGTCATTTTATCAGTGGGAGCTGGGAGCCATGCAGGCTCTCCAGAATTGTGACTTTCATACCAAATCAAGCAATGACTAATTGTATGACCTTGGGTTATTCTTGCACACATTGGATAAAAATATTAACCATAAATCTGGATGTAAAAACCAACTTTGCATGCTCTTGATTTGAAATTCTCATTTGTGTGACATATTTTCAATGCAAACCACATCAAAAAAGTCACTGTTGCAGCGTTGCCAACGGTGATTCCCCATGACAGAGGCAGGTAAACGTGTTCTTTAGATCATGTGCAAAGAAGCCAATGTCAATTAAAGGACAGGAAGATGATGATGAAAAAATAGAGGGGGCAGCCTTTAGTTTGCTGACAAAGCAACACAAGGCTTTCAGGTTTTCACTAATGAGCTAATTATCACACATCTATCCTCCTGAACTGTAATTCCTACAGGGGTGGGACCCAGAGAAAAGTGTTCATTCACACTTCACTGCTGAACACAGTCATGCTGGGAATAAATGGACAATCCTGTTTGAGTGAAATTTCAGCTGTAGGCACAATGAAGGTGACAAAAAACATTCCTCTGCATGAAGCAATGACCTGCAGAATATGCTCACTTTACATGTAAATAAAAACAATATACTATGATGTCTATTAAGAACAGAAAAAACAGAATTAGCATCCTCTCAAGGTCGTTAGATTTCACTGCAGCTCATCATAACGCGAGACTAGAGGGTCAATAAACTGTTTTTGACCCAGTCTAAATTTTAACCATCATCACATTCTGACAGGAAGTGCACACAAGAGAAAACAATGTAGTTACTCATTTCAGTGTACAAGTGTATACGTTTGTTTTTTTTTTTAGTTTTTTAAAAATTTACATGCTTTTCATACAAATAATTTTTCGAGTTCCTGGAATACCCTTCTTTCCTGCATTATATACCGTATATTGTGAATGAGCTCCTCCCTGCTTTTTACATTAGCATTGTATTTATGCATTTATTCATATTCTTAATTATGTCAGAATAAGATATATTGATAAGATATGTCTATACATAAGATATAGTAAGATATATTGCCTATGTAAGACGCGAATAATTAAAGTAAATGAGGGCAATCACTTTAATTAATTTGTCTTGGACTATTCTGGTAAAAAACTTTATGAACAATGTTGATAAATGTGAGATATACACGGGTACAAATAAATAGTTTCCTCATTTTATGTCTCTCACCAAATAAGCTGTTGCTGAAGCCGTCCCAGATGCATGTTGCCTGGCTCCAGATCCATCCGCCTTTGACGCACGAAGCAAAGGTAAAGTTTATTCCGATGAGAGAAACCAGCAAATCACTCAAACTTATATTAACCAGTAACAAATTTGTGGGTGTCCGGAGTCTCTTGAATTTACAGTAGAGTATGATGACAACAACGTTATTACAAAAGCCGAATACTCCAATGGTCCCGATGGTGAAAGCGAGAAGTTTGTAGGTGCCAACTGTGAAAAGATAATGTTCAGTACTTCTCTCGACTCTGGTTTCGTTGGCAGGATTCATTGCGCGGATAAAAACTTGGTTTCCAGCATTGTGCAGCGCGCGGTGTGTCAGAGTGTGTCCCAGACACGAGACACTGTGGGCTCCACGCCGCACCTCCACGCGCTCCCCGCGCCGCTAATTTAAACCACCCAGAGACTGGTGTTTGCTGAAACTGGGTCAATGTACCACTGTCAATTCAAACAGATTATAAACGTCACACTTCCGGCTGCACATTCAGAGTAAAACCGCTTTTGACCTACATCTTTGACGACGAACTCAGACTAACTATTGTGGGGTATTTAAACCACGTTCGAAGAGTTCATAGAAGAAGCTTTTAGGAATAACGTTTCTAACGTGCCCTCTGTTGTGAAAAATCAATACATTAGCAAGTGATGCGGTATTTCACATGTAGTTCATTTTGTCTGCACTTCAATATTTCATGCTTTTATTTTGAAACCAAAGTCTCCAAATAATCTCCCGTTTTTTTCTGACTCAGACTTGTTCGATTGATTTAGCCTTCCATTCAATAATCAAGACCGTCATGTGTTGTTATGATTTTTTATTTATACCTCTAGCCTGCACCAAGACTGCATACATATTTAACTTGTTTTACAAATATGTTTACACACCGTTTTTGAATGTTTGAATGCATTTTTTTTTATTTATGCAGACACATTCACTTAATGTTTCATGTTTGAATTCAGGTTTAGTATGGACACAAAATTTCATTCATCATCACGAACATTACAAATTTCAGGAGCACTGGTAAATTGTTCAGGCTGCTGACAAGAGAAAAAACATCTGTCTCTCTTTTTCCACCTGAAAAGAGGTGACATACAGCTTGTTTGTCACACCCCAGCTACTCAGTGGAACTTTACAGATAAATCTAATTATGCTCCTGCCTATGTGGAAGAATAGCCTACACTTGTGAACTGTAACTGTTTTTATTACAGTGGTAAACTATTTTTTTTATTAGGGAAATGATATGAGAGTGTGTGATTGACAGAACGGGAGATACCAGAAGCAATAAATGCATGTATCCAAGCTACATGCATTTTTAGCATGGGGAGCCTTTGTGGGAAGGCCTGGCAGTGACTTCCCAACTTGTCAGATATAGTCTAGAGTTTAACATGCACCACCAAATGATGACAAAACAGCAACTCTGTAGACTTTGATGTATGTCTATTCTGTGACATTTTGAGGTATTCTCCTTTCACAAGTCGTTCTCGTTTTGTCCACAGAGAAATGTCACCCTGTTGAAATGTTGTATTCCTGCAGCGACGCTGTTTGGGTCTGACCTCATTTCTCTGTGCCTACAGGTTGACTCTAAATAACAGATCTCCCTCAAATAACACAAGAGATGGGAGTGAGCATGGGGTTGCGCATTACACACAGACTCTAGGAATGCTTTAATTATATGCTGCAGCTCACCTACTGACTCACCCGTGCTGTGCTGCTCATTCATAATTTGAAGTTATTTCATTCAAGTTATCAAGCTTTATACTCGTCTTGATATAGTTGCCATATACATATAGGTATATATATATATACATATATATGTGTGTGTGTGTGTGTATACACTATATTATAAAATTTATTTATAAATTTAACATGCATATAAAAATTCTATATGTATGTATCCCAGTCTGGGAAAGTGGTCTCAGACTTTTGGAGCCCACTGTATATAATAACAATATATATTGACAGGCTTTGGTACGGATATATATTAATGTAACATATGTCTACAACATAAGCATACATGAACATACACATTTGTATGGGCTACACATGTAAGTCAATATATGAAATAGTGTCAATTTCAAATAAGTTTCATATCATTTTTACATTTATGTATATATTTCATATATATATACTATATATATATATATATATATATATTAAATGTATGTACATATATTTCATTTGCATATGGCCTAGTCTGGCACTGTAATAAAATTACCCCAAGGATGTTATAAAAGGGAATAGTAAGCTCTGAGGTCAATGGTTCATTTTCCTGAAATATGTTGTCACACATCACTTAGCTTTCTTATGATAAAATTGACCTCTATAAAGAACAGCAGTGTAGTAATGCTGTTATACTGGAACATAGTTGCATCACCAGTGATCCATGGAAGTATTGTTCAGACCAGCTACATAAATAGTGAAATCCAATTAATAAATAGGTCAGGGCATTGAAATATCCTCGGAAAAACAATTCCAATATGTGCGGTAAATGTCAGAAATTGAACAGGCTTTATTGACGAGAGATTCTTCAAATCTAGGATTAGTATGTTCTGTGGAGGCGTCACTGTTTCATGTTTATTTAAATAGTTTCTATAGCTTTTGCATAATCTCCAAAAGTATGTAAGGACAGATGCTTTTTGCGTTTCTGCAGCAAGGTCAGGCGTCTTTCTATCCATCTATCTCTCCCTCTCCTCCCATTTGTTTGTTGGCCTCTTATTTTAATAAGAGGCAATGAACATAATAGGTTCTACTGAGTGGTGTTACTGAAGGTAATCTCCAAGGATATGAGCCTTCACTCTTTAGCAAAGCTGCTCGCATACCCACAAGCATCCACCACTGTGTCCCCCTGAGATGCAATTACGATAGCATTACACTCACTCTACTGTGAATTGGCTTCAATTGGCTTTTCACTGTCACAAACATCAGCACTCCAGACTCGACAAAGCTCTGTACAAGTCCTAGCACCACCACTCGCATATCCATGCATAATTCAATATCATTATGCTTTTACTGATACTTTCCCTTCATGCTGCAGCGGTCCACTGAGTAAATAGCACCTCTGTCTCTTGTGAACAGTGTTGTGACGTGGAGCTCCAGAGAAGAGGTGTTATTCAGGCTAGGTCAGCTTACTTAATCATTAGAACCACGTTTATGCATGACCACACAGCTGCAGGAAAAAAAAACAGGTGTTAATTTGATGACTTTTTTTCATTTTTACATTCTTGCTGGAGAAGCATTCATGGTTGTAAAGGTTGATCCTTTATTGGAAATTAAAAGCGCAGCCCTTATCTCAAATGGAAAAAAGCAAAGTCCTGCACCAGAAAAAGCCAGAACAAGGGAGTGAATCATTTCCATGGAGTCAGGGATCAGTGCAGCTTTTGAAAGACAGATTAGCAGAGTTGGGTTTAAAGAAATACTTCAACATATCAGAAATACACTTCTTCTATTTAAGAGAAGTTAAAAGAGTAAATCAATATTATGTCCGTATGCTAAATCTGAAGCTACCGCCAGAAGGCGCTTAACTTTAGCTTAGCATAAAGACTGGACAACAAGTCCCTCAATCCATACATGCATGTCGGTCAATTGTTCCTACCCTCATTTACGACCCAGAGGAGTGTTTCCTAATATAGCGCCCCCTACTGGCAGCATGCATACCGGACCTCGGTTGTCATGGTGACCATAATAAACACACGACTATACCGAGAGTGGCTCACCAAACGTTGCCGTTGTTAATTTAATAACGGTAATGTATTGGTTAGGTTTAAGCACAAAAACTACATAGTTAGGTTTAGAAAAAGGTCATGAATTGGGTTAAAATAAGTACTTTCTCAAAATCAGATGATCTTTGTTGTCATGGTTTATCATAATAACAACGAACAGCCATGGATAATAGACACAATATACACTACTGGTTTCACATGGGAGTGGAACACCGATGTCCTTTGTCATATTCCTGACTTTTGTTAAACCATCCATCCACCACAACCTCCTCCAGACTCGGACTTTGTTGCTCTTTACACTACGTCACCGCACTTTTCCCATAATTACTACGACCACTAGATGTCGTCTAACAACAAAATGTAACTATGTGTCATGATAAGCTGCTGAACAAATGACCTGTCTGCTTGTTTTTCACAGGAGGACAGTCTCAGACTGGAAGGAAGGGGGTGACTGAAATTACAACATAATGACACTGAAAAGGGCACAGCTCAATGCCATGCCATTGTAATTAATGGAAGAAAGGAAGTGGAAGGAAATTTCAAATTAATGAAGTCCTTCTAAAATGTATCCATTGGACCACTTTTTCAAATTAACTAAAATACAACAATCGTCAAACCCAGTTTATAGTGTGCGCAGCCAGTAGCAGTCAGCGGGTAGTAGCTAGCAGATTACCTTGGTAGAGACAGTGCTAGCTTGGTCAGACATGGCTGTTTTTCAGTATTCACTTGAAGTTAGTGTTGCTCTTTTTAAAGCTCACTAAATAACACGTTACGGACAAATAACTAAATATTAAGCTAGTTCTTTCCTCCTGTATCCAGTTACTAAACTAAGCTAAACTAATTGCCCTCCAGCTCTAGCTTCATAGCTTCTCAACTAACTCTCATCCAGGGAGCAAAATGAAACTTCTGGCCCAGCATATACCCCGGTTCCACAGGCGGAGTCTGGCCCATATATTTCTGCATCTAGGTAGTTATCTTTCAGTGGTGGCTGACAGCCGGAAGATTTTACACGTGTGTGCCAGAATTGGTCCAGATATGGGAGTAGCATTTGACAATCATGCTTCATATGGGCCACACTTGAGCTGTGGAACCAGGGTGTATACTAGGCCAGAAGAAGCACGAGCATGTGGCCCAAGTATATGCTAGATGTATTTTGCTATCTGGACAGCAATCTAGGAAATTATTCTTTTAGAGTTTTTATACATAAAAACTGCCTTTAATTTTTCAACTGTGTGTTTAAAATCTCTATACTAGATTCTGACCAATTTCCCTCTCACTCCACAGAGCACTGTCATCATCTGAGGTTGCACTGTGAGAGCCTCCTGACTTACATTAGACCATTTATTCCTATAGCAGCTGGCGCCTGCTCTTTTTTTTTTTTTTAAATGTTAAGTAGAAATAATGCATGTGCCCAAAACCAGTTTCTCTCAAATGGCCGTGTGTCATATCCCTGCTCTTTCAGAGGGATTAACAGAGAAGAGAAAGTGAACTGGGGAGTTGAGGACAGGGATGGTGTTGCTGTAATGCACTGCTGTATAGAGTGTGTGCATGAGTTAAAAGAGAGTTTGCTTTTAGCTATTTACATTAGTTTTCACCCTTTTGTGGCGGCTAAAATACTTGTGTGTTTTCAGGCTTGCAGCTGGATATAAGCTGTTTAATTTCATGAAACAAAGTAG